TAAAGATAGATAAAGATATACGAATTTGCGGTTCGTATCATTCTTTGGACCCTGAGGAATGTGGAGGTGAATAAGGCCCGAAGAATTCCCACAGGTCATGTTCTTTGATAGCTTATCAATAAATTTATCATGCTTGTTCTTAATTTGTTTATGTTCGCAGTATATATGTAAGTAGTGGCTGTCGTGTTGTACCGTTTCATTTTTTTCCTTTCTCTCTATAGTTGTTTAGCATTTTTAGTGCTCTGTCTATGTTTAGATATTTGTCAAGATCCCCTCACGGACCCTCACAGCGAAGTTACAGCCCCCTGCACAGGACCCTCACAGCAACTCACAGTTTATCCGATTGACATATGTATTAGTTGTATTAGGAAGTTATATTGCTTGTTTATTATTTTCGTAGTCGCATTGTAGTTGTTAGTTGCTTGTAGTAATAAAGGTTTAATTACCCAAGTTTGAGGTGTGCTCGCTGTGCGTAAGTCCCGCGTGGCAGCAATCAATCACAACACACTCACACGCACACACAACTGATCACCGATCGTGTAAAAGATGAAGATTAATTGCGATAAACCAAAAGGGTTGTTTCAAACTGCAGCAGACCGCAGCTGACTGCAGCTGACCGCACTGACTGCTGCAGTCTGCTGCAATCAGTGCAGTCAGCTGCAGTCAGTGCGGCAGTATGAAACAACCCAAAGTTGGAAGTTGGGGTTCCAGTTGTTAAATATCGAAAATTTCGATATTTTAACAACTCATTTGTTCGTTGGAAACATGCTTAGCACTGTCGGATTAGATAATCAGTACATCTTTGCAACGTTCTCATCAACTTCAAAAGAAGAGAAATGATTTTAAAAAACGGTCGGCCGCCGGGATCAATTGTGGATCGTACAAAAAGCTTGAAAATGCAGGTACAACTTCTCGCTTCAATTTGATATTGTTATAGTGAAGATTGGTTAGAATACTTAATGGAAAAACAGCCACTTGAGAAAGGATAGATGGTATGAAATAACTCCGCAGCTTCAAGATAAGCTGCGACTTTCTTCTAAACTGCGATCCGCTCCGCAGCGAGATTGTTAGCATGCCCCATCAAAATTCCTTATTTTCATTTTTCCACTTTGATGGTTCGGAAGGAACAAAACACACTCACTTTACTGTCCTCGCTCCTGCGATAGAGCGAAATGCTTTGTGACAAAAGCAGCTCTAGAACGGAGCTATTCTTGAAAGTTGTGGGTATTTGTATGAGAACGCCAAGAGGAAACAACATAGAGACGGTCAGAGTCGTTAGCTGGAAAATGTAGACTGAAGAATGCAAATGAACCATGCGGGGACAGTCAACTAGAACTGTCAAACTCAAAGGGAAGGAAAAAAAACCTTGACACGAATGTCTTTTGTGATCACTAATGGCGTTATGAGGACTTCGCAAGTTACAAAAAAACTGCGCTAAGCTTTATTCTTAATCTCTGCATTTTAAAGGAGAAACTTTGTAAATGCGCATGTGATTACGCGTTTTGCTTAAAGACTGTGTTTCGAGTGGATGGATTGGACTGAAATTTTGCACACATATATTACTAGGTTGCTCCATAATTCTTTCCTATCTTACCGAAGCCATGGCCTTCCTACCTCTGTCCTTTATTTAGTGAGGCTTGGATCGCCATTCGACAGAGCAAAGCAAGCTCTGCAAAATCGTTACTTAGCATCCGCTTGGATCGTATTTCACCTAATGTATAAAGCTGAGATATGATAATAGTTGAAAACGATATCAAGTGTAAAAAATCGCACCACCATCTTGAAACATCCTAAAATTATCCACTTATGTACCTCAAATATATGCTTGAAGCATTCGCAATTTTCGTATTTCTACCATGGATAGATATAAATAAAGATGATGGAAGTGAATTGGCGATTTCCTCAGAGGTCGTGGTCTCTTACAAACGTAATAATTGAGCTAAACGGGAAATGGGACAGCTTGATTTCTATATTAGGTTGTTACGTAAGTCTTGTTACACTTTAACTTCTTATGACGATAAGTCATCCCTCATAATCTTTACAGGCCTTGCAGGGTATCATTCAATAGAGCAAAGCAAGCTCTACAAGATAGTGTGCAAAAGTCCGCACCAACTTCGACCCACTGTAAGTTTGCATTCAAAATTCAAATTCGAGTCGTACTGAAGGCTCAAAAAATCGCGAAAAATACATATCTTTGTCCAAAAAAATCCCGCGAATCTCCAACTTGCTCATAAAGATTGCATACTGTATCAGACACTCATATGTACCGTTACTGTATTTTTTCATTGTCTAGAAAAAACGTTCTTGATTTTACAAAAACGAAGCTGTGCTGTTTCTATTTATGTAGCTGAATATACGAGCCCTCAGAAGAATAACCGCAATTTTTAGCTTCCAGAAGCCCTATTCTTCGAAAATTACCTAATTTAGTCCCACCCTAATAAAAGATATTCGGTATTTTTCGAAAATAGGGCTTCTGCAAAGCTGAGAATTTACGGTTTTATTTCTAAAGGCTTGTTACAGCTACATGAATTAGAAACACACAGCTCCGTTTTTGTACAAACAAGAAAATTTTCGATTTCTCAATTTCTGGATGAGGAAAAAATACAGCAACGGTGTATTTAAGTGTCTGATGTAGTGTGCAATCTGTACGACAAGTTGAGAAATTCGTAGGGTTTTTTTGAACAGAGATTTGGATTTCCCTCAATTTTTTGAGCCTTCAGTGCGATTCACATTCCGGATGCAAACTTACGGTGGATCGAAGCTGGTGCGAACTATTGCGCACCATCTTGTAGAGATTGCTTTGCTCTAGCGAACGGCACCCTGGAGTCCTAAAAACATGAAATTTACGACTTATCGGGATAAGAAATTAAAGCATAACAAGATTTATGTAAATAATAACATTATATTCTTTTGTTCCGATTAACGATAGGCATGCTGCCATTCAAACTTTATTTACATAAGGTTCCTTCGCCGATTAATCTAGCAGCGCCTTACCGCTTCTTTTTTGAAAGGGTTCTTTAAACATCTCTCAATTCTTGGCGGTACTATACCGTGAAGAATGCAATAACTTATCATTCAAAAGAAAGGCAAAAACATGAAAAATTGCGGTTTTTCGCCCCCAAAACCAAAAACATGTTTTCTATATTTTCCGAAGGTGGATGAAAGCTGACGTAAATTGCAGATGAATGGATAGTGCGTTAAGAGCTCTAACAGATGTTAACCAGAAAACATGCGTGCTTGCAAATAAAGAAATTAGCAAGTAACTCGGCTCTCGACACGGATGATGAGCACACCTTCTGAATTCTGAGCTCTGTAACGCTGATCCATCATAAATTTGGAGACCTGTCCCCTCACCCTACTTTTGTTGGTCGCGGACGCTGCTCAAAGTTTCTAATTTATCGAGGTGATTGACTTTGCATTTTAGCAACTATAAGAACTATCAGACATGTAGATGACCTAATATAGGTGTTGGCTGAAAGAGAATAATATAATATGTTAACATCTCTCATAATTAGATCAAGTAATCAGTTTCTTTCTGAAAAATCTGCAGTTATTCTCCAAATGTCCGATTATTCCGCGTTCATCCTAATATATAGCACATAATTCGAGCAGATAATCAGCCTAATATAGTGTGCTTGCGGTGCCAAGAAGATGCGGTAAAAACTGCGCGAGAGCAAATAACCATACCAGAAATGCAGGCATTTTGCGCGCGCAGGCCGGCGTCAGGCGTGACTAGTCATTCATGCGCAAATTTTATCGCATTTTCTCTGCACTGCAAGGACACTATAACAAGCAGACTACTCGACTGTACTATCAAAAGTATTTACGATATTATATTTGAACCTGTAGGCGCCATAGTTCTCAAGAAATACTGATCCTAGGAATCTTCTTATTTTTTGGTCAAACTTTATTAGAACACGACTGGTGCGGAAATTTTATATTTTTTAAAAAAATTTTGTTGCTCTTCCTGCCGCGGCATGAGGAGTGCCATTATTTTCCTGACAACCTAATATTTTCGAATCCGGCGAATGCTTCGAGTAACTCTTTGCTACCTCGTTAGACCAATTTCTTGTTCTATTGATTTTTAAACTTTGCAATAAAAGTGGGTTTTTCATCAGCCGCTAATAAGTCCTTTTCCACGGTTTCGTGTAAACATTGGAAGTAGAGGTGATTTCATTTCCGCAGTAAAAAAGATGCGGTGAAGAGAGCAGAATCGTGACATTCGAACTAAATGTTTCAGGAGCGCAGGCGATGCATCGCGGATGCTTCGAAGAATGAAGGGACTGTTAGAGTAAGTTTGCTGAGCAAGGTACAGCCACGGGGGATGCAGAAGGAAGGGAGAATTTCGGCTATGTTAAAAATCTTGCCAGCCTATCGGGCAGTTCTTACCGTGCTGGGCGCGACGATGGTGCCAGCTAATACAAATATTTTAGGCTTCCTTCCCCATATTCCTTGCATCTGGAGATGGAATATGGCGACAAAACTTGAAAGCTTGGCATCGATCGTCACATTTCGGCTATTTTTCAAGGTATAGTACAGTCTGTCTCAATCCCAAAGAGGCCAAAATGGGCATGGCGGGAGTCCGTGCCGAGCGGGTTTCGCGTCATGTCTACGACTAGCTTGTTTGTTCTCTCCTCAATCTCTTCGCACTCGCTCAGACAGCGCGCATGCAGCGCGAACCCCTAGTCTGCGAATCTAGCCAACTCGGCCTGATCCGATTGGGACAGACTGTACATTTGCTATCCCATTACTTGGTTTATGAGTAAAGTAGGGTACACCTGTTGGTTACTATGAAATGTTGTAAAGAAAAACAAGTTTCCTTTTCTTGTTTTCATTCTGCGTAAACACCGAGAAGGATTGATAGCCATAGTTGCCAACGAACACCGTCTTCACAACAGACAACGATGAAATGGGAACTCGTTTTGACTGGTACACCTCTCATAAAGGGCAACTCATTTCGCGACTCCCGCCAAAGCCTTAGTCTAGTAAGTTATTTATAAATGTCGACGTCGATGCTTCTAATTCTGGTGCTCACCGAGATAGTTTTTGCTGCGGATGACGTGGAAATGAAGTCCTCCGTTGTTCACCTTTTGCAGAATTTTCCGGACCTTCAAAGTACGCTGGAGGCCCTACCAAAGGTTTGTTGTAATATTATTTTATTATTACGGTCAATTTCTAGGGTGGGTGAGCAAAGTCGGAATTTTTATGCAGAGATCAGTTTATTTTGAGATTGGCTTATAAATCATGTCCGCAATTTTCCAGGAATGCACAAAAAATGGAAAAACATACAAAGAGGGTGAGGAATTTACTATTGGAAATTTGCGATATAAATGCCAGAAATATGGGGTGTACACAATTGAAGGTATAAATCTTTGTTTCTCCATCTTAATGGGGATAATTTTTTCGCTATATGATTCTATTAAGGATGCATCACGGACAACAAAGAAAATTTAAAAGTTGGAGAAGTTGTCGTAAAAGACAATATCAAATCACAGTGTTTAGGCGCTGGAAGTTCAGTTTTTTATAGAGAGACTGTAAGTCTCCTATCTCCAATGTTTTTTGCATGATCACCGGCATTCAGGTTTGCGGTATTTTGGGTCAGCCCGAATGTGACAAAATAGGCCCACCTAAAAGTTATGAAGAGGCTTGCAAAAAGGAAGCAGAAAACACTGGAAATATTACGGGAGTAAGTTCAATAACGACAAAATCATGATTCTTCAAAAAAAAAACCTCTTAGATCTCGATACCTGGTCTTCCACCAGGCTGGAAGGTTGTAGACCAAACACAGCAAGCTATTCCTGGTAGCAACAAGAGGGTATCATCGCGAACACTCATGTTTAGCCCTATTGCTGGAAGCACAAGGTAGATCTCTTGCAGAGCTACAATTTATTCGCTTACAAAAATATTATGTGAAGTTGGACAGAGATGTTCCACGATGTTTGGATTTGAATGTAACAGATCTAACAGCTACAATCATTATTCTAAAGAGGGAGGAGAGAGTTAGAGGGAGAGAGGGGCGAAGAGGGGTTGGAGAGGGAGTGGAAGGAAAACAATGAAAGGGAACATAATTTGCTCTTTCTATTCTCAGACATTAATGTGATGTACGCTGATCATTTTTAAAAAATTAAATGCTTTTCATTTGAATTAATAAGTGAAGTTGAAACTCTGCACGAAATGTGCCCTAGCGAAATATCTACAGAGCCCGACCTCTCTTTGCAAGAGATCAGCTCATTAGCTTTCGCGTGAAGAAGCTTCTAAATTTTGCGGTTTATTACAAAGCTTCCTGATAGCTAGAGAATATCACATTAATTAGCACATTAATTACCGTACTTACTAATTAGGTTGTCTTCTTTATGCGGTCGTTCACGTATAGACTGCGGGTAAAGTAGTGCACTGCGTTTGACATAGATTCTTTCAAAAAAAAAGTGGAGATGAGCTTTGCTAATCTATTCATCCTTTTATCAAATTCTGAATAGGCGTAGAATGAAATGTGAGAATAACGATATACCGATTTTCAGCAAAGTCCGTCGACAAGGTCCCAAGGCTGCTGTAGAAGTTGGACCTCCTAAGATACTGAGAGTGTCTCTAGGTGATGGAAAGGTGCTGTATTGGAGATTTTGATTGAGGGGTTCAAGGAAATTTTTCAGATCATAAATGTTACGAGAGGATCCGCATCAAACATCCCGATATATACACAGACAGTATCACGCACATTGAATATCCTAAATAAAAAGAAGTTTGCATTATGTCTTTTTACGCAGATAATTTTTTTTAAATTTCTAAGAGATGAACAAAACATAACTTTCAGCATTGAAGAGATAGCCGGAATGGGTACAGCAAGAAAAGATCTCAGCAGCAAGACGCCAGCAACGCCATTCTCGAATGTCAGAATGCACTTTTGAAGAATTAATGTTAACTGTTTACTAATGTATAGTTATATAGCCCGGAACAAACAGTGGTCCGCGTGTTGATGTCGAGTGAAACGATAGGATCGCACTGATGAATGGTAGAATTATAGCAGTTAACCCAGGAACATTTACATGTGGAACATCATAGACAGAGCATTCGCAAGAAAGATAATGGGATTTATCGTTTGATCGCTGTGTCGTTTAAACGTGCCCACCGTTTTGTAATGAGACTTATTATGCTAAAGCTGTCTCTGAACAGTTTGCTGCACTCGTCTACGTAATAATGACATTGATTTTTTAAATATGTGTGCGCAACCCAAAGCCTCCATGACGTTTTCCAGCGTGCAGATGTATGTAATTCGCTCTCTTTGCATAAGTAATATATCTATCCTCATGTTCACACTAAGAGTGTCTGATTTGACTCACACAATCATTAAGTTTTCATAAATGTGCTTTACAATTGTCTTACCGAATTCTTAAAAATCTCAGTCTGCAGCATTGTCTTCTATGAAAGTATGTTAGCGTAAATCCTTAAGAGATGCCGAATTGGCATTGCTAAAGCCTACTTGGGAAGGATACTTGGTGACCATGGCCTTTTGAAATAAATCGTACACCATTTACGCGTTTTGAAGCGCTTATTCCAAATCTGCCTTTGGTACAGTCGAATCATTTCAAGTGATCATGTGTGTCATTGCACACACAGTCCACCTTTGGCGTTCTCATTCCTGGATTCGAAGAAACAACCCTCTAGATAAGTGTTTTCAATGTTCTTAGCAAATCTCCTTTTCAAATACTAAACACCTCATATTGATGAACGATAACAATCGGTAAGTCTCTTGCGTTTTTGCGATTGCAAGTTCAGGATGAGGACGCCAAAGGCGGACTGTGTGTGCAATGTCACACATGATCATATAAAATGATTCGACTGTATCTGCTGTGCGCTTCCGAAAGAAGTTTAAGCGTTTCTTGACACCAAAAACTGCACTGTTTCGATGACACGATAAAAAGGGTGCAAATAAAATAAAGCTTTACGTTAAGCCAGAAAAACCGTTCCCGATATATATGAGTTTAAAAAGCCTAAATACTAACGATTCTGACTGCCTAAATCTAGTGAAACCAACATGGAAAAAAGTCCATAACTTTATTTAGAGAGTTGCACAGCAGATAATGAACCGAGATTAAATCAGCGTTTTAAGGCGCATCTACTGGTATATAATCAACTGCAAAGGACCACGGTCACTTAGTATCCTTCTCTTGTTAGTCATAGCACCTAGTCACACAAACATCAACATTCGCGTTTCAATTCATTTGTTGAAACGAACCTTTTAATTGCTGAAACAAGATCACCTACAATATTCAGCTATTATAAAAATTCACTCCTATTTGAAAAAGATCCAGCGAACGTGAAAAATTTAGAGTTTGTACGGGTAGTAGTACGGAGCTGGAATCACAGAAATGGCTAGGTCATGTGAAATGTTTATTTGAATTGCTAGAATGTTAGTCTTGGCATTCGTACCAATTTTACCAAAAAAATGGGGAACACTATACAAATCTTCGGAACATAGCTATGTTCCGAAGACTTGTGTAGGATGGAAAATACTGTTCCTTCAAATTGAATTTAAAAAATAGCGTGTTTCCCATGTTTTTTTTCTCGGTAAAATTGATACGAATGCCAAGATTATATTTCTAGCATTTCACATAAACGAGCTCGCCTTGCTTTGTATGGGAATAAACGTTGTTAATTTCGTCTTCGTCCAAAAAACAGCTTAATTGATTTGTCTGGAATTCGAAAACGGGCATTCTGGAACAGTCATTGTGGTCTCCCACTGTAAACGGCGGAGATTTGCACCTTATACGCTTGACGGTTTCCGAGCGAGAGATCGAAACTTTGAAGCAATAAAAAGCATATATCTGTAAAATTTAACTCTTTCGAAAGCGATTTATATTCAACGGTGTGGTAGACTAACAGTTCTGACCTTTATTCTGTCAGTGAAAACTAATCTGTTGGACAAACTGGCTTGCTTTCACTTGACGTGCTTCTTCCTATCAATCGCAACCAACGAGCTAATCAAATTTGTAGCACTGATTTCATCTTACCTCTTGGAGGAAAAAGAAGGGGCACGAAAGTGAAAGAGTAACAACAAAAGTAGGCTGACATATCCTCTGCCTATCAGGCAGTGTATTCGTCTTGATCGAAGACATTGGCACAAAATAAAGCAGAACAAAATCTGAATTGTTGAGTCGGTCCGTCTCCCTGTTCAGCCAAGCTGTCACCTCGTAGCAGTTTAGCTCACCTTTCCATTGTACAATGTATCGTTACCAAAGCCGAGAACGAGGTGGCATTTAAGAATTACAGAGACGAAGTTTCCTTTGGCATTGCAGAAGATTACGAATTATTTTCTGTAGTGTTTTAGAAATCGGCTAATAATCTGTAGCAAACAGTGAGAGGATGGAATTGAAAACAAGACAAGGAAAATCAGACATAGAACTGCCGAATGCGAAAAAGGTGGTTTTTTAACATCATCAAAGCCATAGCAGTACAGAGGTCGAAACTTGGGTTAGGGTGAGAATCCATAGGTAGCCTGAGCCTAGAGAGCTTATGTATAAAGCTGAATGTCTGTTTGTGCGTGTGTGTCTGTCTGTCTGTCTGTACGTATGCTGCAAATAAAAATTTTTATTTCTGAACCGATCCAAACCAAACTTTGCGCACATACACTTCGGGCGGGACGGGTGTCATAAGCTACTTTTTGTCATTGATCGATACTGATTTTATTGATTTTCTAAAAAGTTTGAGCTACGGAGCTGGAAGTTGGCACGGGGGTTAAATGAGCATGCCGATTACGAAAACAATATTGACAGAACTGGATGGAGCCGGGTTTGCCAGCTAGTATTCATGTAAAAAATTTTGAATAGTCATGTGAGGAAGTGGGAAAAGCATGACTCTATTTGGCCTTCGCTACCTCAGGATTCAATCGCTGGATTGCGCTGGAGCAACCCAGATTAGAAGAACACTTAAGTCCCTCCATCCATGATTTTTTGTAATTTTTTTCATACACATAATTTCATAATATTTCATAAAAAAGCGGAAAGCGTGCATGTGGAGACGCACACCATATCTGTGGAAAGAAACGTAAAATTTTATGCAGCAATTTATATCAAAGTATATAATGGTTCAGAATCTTATTCTATCATTCTTCCTGGGGAATGTCCGGGAGTAGTACTACCCATTCTCGCACCGGTTAGCGGATAATTTATAGTCGTCAGTGCCTTCTTGTGAGAAAAAGATTACCAGTGATTGAATAAGCGATAAATTTCCCTTTGTTATGGCTATCTAATAAAACAATTGATTGTTCGCTTTTTTAATGAGATTCAAATGTCCCTTGATCTTCTTGCAATTTTGATAGATGATCCAAGTTCTAATTTGAGAAAAGAAAAACAAGACCCTTGTTCACACATTTGCTGCAGAACAATAACAGAAATGGATTGATGGCCGCTGACTTACGTCCCTTTACGCAACAAACATGGGGAATGAAAACGCGTTTTCATGTGGTTGGCACCTCCCTTATGTGGCAACACATAAAAACATCATAGCGTGTTGAAAGTATCAATATTAATTGCACTTTAAGACTTGCGCCTGGAATGTTTCTTATTCTTCTACTTCCGACATTTATTCTCGCAAAGGAAACAGTTGTTTCACAATCTCCTATGGTACATTTGCTTCAGAATATTTCGAATCTAAATGAGGCGCTAAATACTCTGCCAAAGGTATGTTCCCTAACTCATCCCTCGTTTTCTACTAAATTGGAGACTTGAGACAACTAAAAAAATTTCTTTCTGACGACGGCTGTAGATTGCCGGATTGAATTAGATTTCTAACTTAATTTTTAAATATACTTCAAAATGTCTCAGCGGTAACACTTGCTAGGAGACCGTTTTGCTGATAAAAAAAATTGGGTTGAATTCTATTTGCTTTCCTTTAGAAAGTTCTTCTCCTACTTTCAAAAATAACTGTCTATCAATAACCTTTCCATCAAGCACATACTAAGAGGATTTTTTCTCCATAATCCATGACGCTTTAACCTCTGTATTTCGTGCGAAATTAGAGATCAACTTGAATTTTTTTTTGGAAAATTCACAGTATGTAGTCCGAAGGGGTTCCTTTCGTAAGTCGTTTACCTTTCCAAAAACTCGATGGAAAAGTTAAAGTTGTGCTAAGATTTACTATGGGACTGCTAGTCAATGATGGTAGAAATAAGTAACTCTCAGGTATCGAGATCTTCAACTCGATGAACATCGCGAGCTAGAGTTTTGCGAGAGATACAACTTTCACATGTTCTGCCAAAAACAGCCTAGCAGAGTCATGGTAGTCCCTTAGTACATTTACGATTCCATCGAGTTTATGGGAAAACAAATGACTTTTAAAGCGATCCCCTCAGAGATGCCACAAAACAATGAGAACTTCTCTGGTTGATATTTGCTGTTAAGACGAGCTGCAAGAGAGAAAGATGTCAGAACTAACCACAAGCTAGAAAAATTTATTACTGTCCTTTCCAGGAGTGCGTAGTGAGAGGAGAAACACACAAGGAGGGAGAAGAGTTTGTCATTGGCAATCTGCGATATCAATGCCAGAAATATGGTATTCACACTATCATAGGTAGGCTTTCGAGCCGTTAGCACTGTTACATGGAGAGGATAGAGTATTGGATGACAGTATTGATAGATAATTGAATATTTTGATTGAATGATTAATTGATGCCAAATGATCACAACAATCGCGGCGGTGCTCAGTTCTCATTACCGTATATGAGTACAGTGCTCTTTTATTATACTAGTTTTGACTGCTTAACTTTAGTATTTGATAAAGTCATTAATTTTTTGATAGTATTAGGCATCAACTTCAGGATGCATCACGGAGAATAAGAAGCATCTGAACATTGGAGATGTTGTCGTCAACAACAACATCAAGGCGCAGTGCTTATCAGCGGGAGGCTCTGTCTTCTATAGAGAAACTGTAAGTTTTGAACAAGATATACCTTGATGAAGGTTCAATCGAACCCCTTCAGCTTTGCGGAGTACTGGGAACCCCTGAATGTGACTCTATAGGACCTCCACAAGAATACGAATTCGCTTGCAATAATGCATCAAAAAACGTCGACTATCTGAAAAATGTAAGCTTTAAACGTTCTTAAGCACTTTCAAAAGTAATCATTCAGGTATCTCTACACGGACTACCACCAGGGTGGAAAGTAATCGACGAGACCCAGCAAGCCATTCCTGGCACGAACAAGCGTATGCTAGCGCAAACAATTATGTTCATCCCTTCGTCTGGTAACAATGTCGGGCCGAGGTGAATTTCAGATGTTCAAGCAAAAGAATGCGACCAATTCGCACATCAGAAAAGCTCATCATGGGTGACTCCAAATCCGCTTCTTTTATACGCTACCCTTTAGAAGAATATCGGCGCTGATAAATTGTAGAAATTAGTGATAAGGTTCAAGCTAATCATAGAGCACGCGAACGTATTACCACAAGATTTGGCACAAACACAAATGTTACAACTTATCTCATGAACTATGTAGTGCACATCAGTTGTGGCAGTTGTCCTTCGCCACGAACTCAAACACTTGTGGGAGATTAGGTCCCACAAGGGTCTTGCGGGGCTCGAAACTACGGACCAATAAGGTAGTCTTGCGCGAGAATCCGATTTTCCGGACCTACATTAGGGCTGGGCATATAGCACGCGGTCTCGTCGTACAGGCTCTAAGAGCGGGAAAATTGTAACGCAAGACTGCCTTTTTTTCGCGATGTTTATTCTGTGAGTGGACTCTTGTGGGACTTAATCACGAATGTTTGAGGTTGGTGGTCTCACCTAGCTTCCCAGTGAAAGTTGATGCGATTTTTGCAAGATCAGCAATGTAGGAGTGACGACGATATCGCTGAATTTGCTATTCGTTTTGAGAGTTCTCAAATTTCAACAAAATTTCAATCAACGCTGTCTACAACCTTTGAGACCGTTGACACAAAGTTTTGCAACTTTGTCTTACCTTTTTCTTTTTGAATGGGACGCTTTCAAATCTTGGCGTTTTGTAGACTCGGAGACCAAAAATCGCAAACCATTGTTTTATGACAAAATGAAAATTTCTTCGTGTTTTCCTAAAAGTAGTCAAAATTGGGGTTTTACGGGTTTTTTTAGCAAAAACGAACACGTACGGGAAATGAGATTGATCAATTTAGCCGAAACTGTAGTCAAAATGTTTTTAGAGATTGACCACTGAGCCCAGCAATAAAAAAGAGTTGTAATGTAAAGTCAATTCAAAATCCAGCGATTTCTGAACTCGAACAAGTCGAATGCGTCAAAGGCGCCTCAGATATCCAACAACAAAAATTTGAAAATTGCCAGTTTTAAAAAGTTTTTTGGGGTATATAGGGCTCACAGCGACTATTTTCAAGAGTGTACTGTTTCGGATAATTTAAAATGTTCAACTATGCGCCATATAGATTGAATTTATCACATATATATTCGTAGAGAAGCAATTGCGCCCTTACAATTATTTACATTGTTCAGGTGAGAGGTTTCTTTAAACCATTGTTAGTATTGGTTGACGAAATTGAAGGAAACCAAGAAATTTTATATATTAGATCATTCCGAAGTAATGTCGCTTTTTTCAAGTGAACGCTACATTTCGTGGAAGCAAGGTTTCTGGGGGATCCTGGTAGCGTTTGATGCAGCATTTCATTCTCTTTTTAATGTTATATGAGCATTGCACAGTATCCGATAAGTTCCAAAAAAATTACCAAAATCTGTGACCCATGCTTTTTGAGAATGTCAAGTTTCACCATTTTTTTCAATTTTTACAACAATCCTCCGAAGGAGTCCGAGTAACAAGTGGATTGAGAAACCCTATAAGAAACAGCACGATTTTTTTCTACTTTCCATAGCCCGTCATAATTTTTGTACACATTTTTCAATGAAATCACCGAATTTTAGCAGGCTTGTCTCAGATACAAATGCACCAAACACCAATAAGTTTTCGGATTTTGAAATTTACAAAGGTGGATTATGATTTGACACTAATTTTGCAAAGCAAAGGAGCGTATAACGCAGATTAGCAACTTCCGGAAATTTCGGGCACACCTTGGGGCGCCCTGGAAAACCTGAACTTTATGAATCGGAAGCCAGAAACAAGTGTTTAAAAGAGGAGAAAAAGCTGCGTCGAATAACACCCGAGTTGCTTGCCTGTTATTGTTCTGTGAGGTTTGAGTCGACCAAATATGGAATTTGAAAGCACTAAAAAATTGATTGTAAAAACTCTAAGAAGCAAACTAAGGAAGAGAAAAAATGGTCTGTCTTTGCTCTATTTACCTCTATTTATCTTTATCTTCACTTGTGCTTCTTCGGGGAATCAGTACAAAAATTTAGAAAAATAGCCGAACTTGACCATGACCAAAAACATGAGTTGCAGGTCTTGGTAATTTTCTGAGAGCTCATTGAATATTAGGCAATATTACAACCATTAGAAAGAGGACGAAATGCTGCATCGACTCTAAGAGCTCTTGAATCTTGGTTTTCACGAAAATGTGGCGTTTATTTGAGAAAAGCGACATTAGTTTTGGAACAACCTAATATTATGCGAAATCCATTTCGAGAATAAGTATGTTGGAAAAAGTCTTCGAAGGAGACGTACTGATATTGCACCAACTTTTTTAAATGTTTAAATTTCTGTACTATACGCCTCATCAGCTTATCATTTGGAGATGACAGAAGTAAAACATCCTTTATCTCAAATACACAACTCAAAATTTAGAACCAAAATTATTAAACTGAAAGTAATTCTGAAGTTTATTTGGTTTTGCATATGTAACAATAAAACTTTCAAAGGACAACTAGGCAATATGCAATGTTATTCGCATGAGTTTTTTCATTCGCAAGACACATCGATATAACTGTAATTCCTGTCTTTAATTTTTTTCTCGTTGCTTCCCGAACGCAAGATCTCTGATCCTTTGCTTGAATTTGCTCTCTTACAATTTTCTTCCACATCCCTTTATTCAAATTGAACTAGCAATCACTTCATATTTGATTTCAGTAGAGCACGTCGACAAACTGTGGGCGTAGAAGAATGGAGTGACAAATCCCCCGTGAAAAGAGACGCGAACGATATGTCGAGAGGAGCGAGCGGTGCTCGCGAGACTGTTTGGCCCAAAACTATTACTGTAAATGGCCAGACTTTTCCTGGTGGGATGGGCACTTTTACCTTCGGAGCCGCACAGTCAGGCCCATACGTAAAAAAGGAAGATTGAACCATATTGATGTGTTAAAGTAGAAAAAAGTTTGAACAGGTAGAACGAGATGTTGCATTCTCATTGATTGGTGATTTTTGCTATAATAAATCATCAAGATTTATTGCTCTTCGACACGCCTTTTACTAGTTCTGTTGTGAAATCAGGGAAGAATACGGTTTTTAAGGGACGCTTGCTGCTGAAATAGGCCTGCTCCTGCTTTTTTTGTTTAGTGCTTTTTCTTGCCCAACCCGGATAACTCCTTATGCACTTTCACAGATTCGTGCCCCACATACCAGTCTCTTCCCAGCGTGAATGTATGATTTCTAGCTTTAAAGTCAGCAGCTCTTGCACATATGGGCCTGCGTAACTACAATGACCTTACGTTAGTAAAAAAAAAAGAACAAAACTGTGCACTCAAGCACCTACTAAAGTCTTTAGTAGGTGCTCATCGTGAATTCCCCCCATCTTATTGGTGAATTTTAAAAAAAAAGAGGCTAAGCACAGTGTATAAAAGCAGCAGTGTGCTTTGACAGTGCGAGCGGTCTCAAAAATCTGAACAGTGTAAATTAGGGCGGAACTGTCGTGCAGTGGCAGTCCTAGATTCTTCCTTTTCCAATGAGGGAAAAAAAGGCTGGGATTTTCGTTGGAGGGCATTCGATTTAACGCTTCCCGAAGAATTCTTTAGGAGGTGCTCATCAATTCTCAACAGCATGCAACCCTTCGAAAAAATTTTCGCGGATCTCATATAGGGTTTGAAAAGTTTCAAAAGGCGTTGTGGTTATTTTCAAGTGAAAAAAATTGTTTGCGCATTGAAACTCACGCAGACTCTCAAAAAATCGGGGGTCACGCGGAAGGCGACAATGCGCGCAAAATGCAAGCGGTTTTTACTTGTGGCATCGAGTCATGTATCTGCCCCCCCCCCCCACACCCCCCTACCTTGGCATCGTGTCACTCACAGTTTTGAAAGGCACAAAATTTGAGGATTGTCGCCTTCCGCATCACACCTTAAAAATACATCACTAAGAGCGCAGTTTCCTAAAAATTTTCGACCCGTGCCGCTACATCATCGCGCTACATGCATCATTTGATAAAGCAGCTCTTCTAAAGGACTAATCACTTTGGTTCTGAGTTGGACCTCCAATTCAATATTACACTCAATTCTCGCTTGCCTCTATCAATGATGGCCCAGTATCGTTCAGCTTAGGGAGGTACCTTGTGACCGTCGCCTATTAAGATGTAACGATTAATTCGTCCTAAAATTTAATGCAAACAATTTGCATTTCTAGCTGCATCTTATCATTAAACGCCATCAATCTCTGGTGGAAGCTCATCATAGTCGGTTAATGATGACAGAAGAGAGTTTTTTGTGGGGGATTTAAAGTCAGTGGTATGATAAACCGTGTAAACCGTGTATAAAACCTCAGTCGCCATGCGATTCTGCGATTTTTTAGATGTTTTTGCATCACGCGCAGACTGGAACTGCGAATTTGTAAAATGGCATCCTTTCCAGTTCAAAAATAAACACCTGCATTAGTTATAAACACTGGAACACTGCCAAATCGCGTGGCGACTGAAATCGCCAAAAATGGAGGCTCATTTATCTCACGTTTCTAAGCTGGACTTGTCAGACTTATGACAAAGGGCGCACAGATCTCCGCAAGCCTTTTGTAAAAATACATGACAGCGAATTGCTTCAACGTCGACTCCTCGCCGGATATGAGTAAGCTGACTGCATTAATATTAAGTTGTCCCAAAAGTAAATTTCATTTCCACCTAACTTGAGCTGTTTTTGCTTTCCTGACAGATTCAAGGTACCATTTGATAGAGCGGAGCAAGCTCTACCAAAAGGGCGCTAAAGATCCATATAAGTCGTGACCCAGATAAATTTTGGAGCCAAAAACTTTTAACCCCCATATAAACAGTTATAAAATTAACCATAAAAATACTTCAATTTTCCAGCTACGCTAAAAATCGATTCTCCTTTTGGAAAATTCCCACGGACTTTCAACTTAATTTTTATATAAAAAAGACATAGCTGTACTCAAAAATATATTTGTTGGATTTTTCCCGATGCTCAATATTGAGAAACGAAAACGGCTCAAAAAATGCCAAAATGCCATTTTTTGGGTTTTTCAATGTAAAACATGGTATTTCTCGAAAGTAAAAGCACATCTAGGTGCGAAACTTCAAGTTTATACTTAGTAGGTCTTGTAGTATACGATGACATATGTGGGAGGGGCGGGGGGCCGAGTTTTCCATTTGGACTATCTTATTTTTCTCGCCTTTTATGCGCGAAAAAACCCAGTAAAAGCATATTTGAGTACTAGTATGCGCCTACTGTATAATGACCATGTGGGAGATCCGCAGGGTTTTTCTTCGCAAAATTTCAATTTTCATGTGACAAAATTTTTTTCGATTTTGGCTTCAAAGTTTACAAGGAGTGCGACTTGGGCGGATCCTTGGTGGTCGTTGATCTGCTCTATCGAATGATACCCTAAGTATACTAGGAAAACAGCTTGAATCATTTAAAAAAGGAGTTTACTTTTGGGACAACCTAATAGAACCGAGCTTTGAATCTAAGCTGCGACCCTAATCGTGACTTTCGAGAGGCCAAAGGCAAGATTAGGTCGCATTTCTGCACAAAATTCCTTTCCCACAACCAAAAGCAGAGGGTCTGCATCTAAACCAGAGTGAACACCCCCGAAGAGAGATGATATTATATAAACCAAAGTCAAGACGGATAACTTTTGTTTCAACTCAACTTTAATTCAAAGAGTTGTTAACGGCCAAAATCCCTGGTTGAGTTTAATGTGTTGGCAGCGTTATTGACTCTAAAAACAGTGAAATAAGTAAAATAAGTAAGATAGCACGTTCCACTTACAAACGGTAAACAAAATGAGCGATTGATAACTCTAATTAGACAATGTCATTGTTTCCATAACGTTTTACAGTGAGGAAAAACGCGTTTTATGTATGGTCTCCGCCTTCTCTGTAGTGTACACCTTACAAAATAGTCTGTTGCAGGATTGCTACAAACTTCAATGCGGCAATTAGTCTTTGATAGAATTCTCTTTCTGCTTCTGCCAGTATTTGCTCTAGCCAGGGATGGAGCTGTTTCAAAGCCAATAACACACATCGTGCAGAATATATCGGACCTAGGCATTGCACTGGAATCTTTGCCAAAGGTTCGTTCTTTGCATTTCGAGGAGTGGCATTCTAGCAAGCGATGCCAAAGATTCCGTGGCAATTCGCATCGGTTTATATTCTATTCATCTGTAACATTTCAAGCATACTATTATGTAGTTACAATCAGACTGAGCTATATCCTAGCATCTCTGCAGACTGACAGGCTATATCTCCTCATACCTCAGTTAGTCCTCATTTTTTATGAAGTTTTCCAGGAATGCAAACTAAATGGAAAAGCTTACAAGGAAGGAGAAGAGTTTATCATTGGAAACTTGCGATATAAATGCCAGAAATACGGAATTCACGCAGCAGAAGGTGACGAAAATGACATACAATAAACTTCCCCATTTGAATGCTCAGAATGTTTCTTTTCCAACCAGCATTTGTGCAACTCTAGTGTAAGAGTTCTCACTAATGGCGAATGATAGGTCTTCTAAGTTCGAACAGAGCTCGGCATAGCTGGCACCAGGTCAAGCTAAATATCATTTTTGGGACAAAAAGCGGGATAATGTTTTTGCGACAGAAAAGACACAAATTTGCTTTTCAAGTCAATGTTTCGTTTCTTTTGAGTTTTTTACGTTTAGGGTTCAAGGTCAAGAGGGACTTCCTACGAAATTTTCAAGACAAAGGGGACCTCAAAAGATTTGAAATCGAAAGTTCTCTAGTGCCAGCTCGTGCCGAGCCCTGATCCCAGTTGAGAAGGTACTCTGCCTCTCCCTTCTAGACTCCAGCTAGAGTACTAGATTTTGTCATGAGGCGCAGGTTTTACAAGAGTGAAGATGCGCGAACGCCGCCTTTGCGCTTGTTCAACTAATACTGTTTTGGTGCCTTCGTCCGGCAGTAGCCTTTAATTCAAAAATTTTTCTTATACCATGAACCTATAGTCTTTTAAACCCGGAGTAGGCGAAACATTCCAAGTGGAGCAGCGCGAACGCACCGCCAAGGCTCAGCGAGATAGACTAGAATGAAGAATAAACTGCAAATCGGGGGAATCGTTGTGAAGCGGACTCCCGCCAGTCCAATTCCCGCCTAAACTGAGCTGAAAGTTACTACTAGGCTGTTCCAAAAGTTCTGTCCGATTTTCAATCGCTTTGATTCAACGCAGCTATTTTCTTAGGGTTTTGCGCTTATGGCATTGTCATAGACATCATCTAAAGTGCGCTTCCTGCTCTTTCTAGTGCTCACTGATGCTTGGCGAATCATCTTTTCAGTGATGAAATTTCAGGCCCCGAAGCAAACTTGCCAAAATGCAGTCATGCGTAGGAAGAAGTTTACATGAAGAGACTTCCGCAGTATTCGTAAAACTAGATATGTAATATTTTATAATGGGTGAAGGTGTAATAGGCTAACATAAGCACACTTTTCCTTCGACGTAGAGAATGTCGAAGGAAAAGTGTGCTAATTTTTCAATTTTTTCAAAGATAGAAAACAGACTCAGTTATTTGACAAGCGACAACAATCTACATATAGCAACAGGTGATGCATTCAATATTGCATATGCTGGAGTAAAGCGAGAGCAAAAAGGGACAATTGGCCACTTGGCTTTCTTCGTTTGTGGCACCAAGAAAAAATCAAATATTGAAAAGTCGGCATATTTTCGCACGCGGAGGAGGGCTCAAATAATGGGTTTTTCTGATTTGCTCGCAAAAATTTCTATGCAGCAAAAATAAATCGAATTCTCTTCAGCCGCAAAAGAATCTTTAAAGTATAGGCTACCTAATGATGGCAGCCAAATATGTCTACCCGTCCTCATATGGAAGCACTAGTAAGTCAGACTGGACGGTTTTGAAAAAAACCTTGCAGAATTTAAAAACCTTTCTCTTCTCTCTCGCTTGCTCGAAATTGAATTTGCTCGAATTGATTTTGAAAAAAAGTTACAAAATTTTAGGTGAAAAAATCGCAAATCGGACAGAAAAAACCACCGCTTAATGATTAAGCTTCTAGGATGCATAACTGAGAATAGGGAGAAGTTATCGATTGGACAAGTATTGGTAAAAGATAACGTCAAGTCGCTGTGCTTGGCAGTCGGAAGCAAAATATTTTATAGAGAAACGGTAGGCATTTTTGAGAGACTTGATTTTGCGCGTCAAAAGCCTTATCAAGATTATTTCAGACTTGCTCTGTTCCGGGTTCGCCAGATTGTAAGGATGTAGGCCCTCCAAAAGAATACGAAGAAGCTTGCAAAGCTGCATTGAGTAGCGCGCAGCACAAGCTTAAAGAAGTGTGCTAGTTTTTATTCCGCTATCGACAGATCTTCGATGTTTAGGTCTCGCTGCCGGGACTGCCACGAGGATGGAAGGTTATCGACGAAGCACAGCAGGCAATACCAGGAATGGAAAACCGCGTACTTTCTCGGACAATCATGTTCATTCCATTTCCAACAAAGAGGTAGCCGATAATCTAATTATGCACATAATGAATGATTATGCAAGAGGTTTTCTAAGAATTTGCACGCAATAAAGGTTTTTCTAAAGTAAAGTTAAATATTTATTAGTCCAAATTAAATAAACTTAAGCAAAACTATTTCGGTCCAGATTTTTGTGAAATCAAAACGAGCGAAATGAAGGTTTTTTGTATTGGCTTAGACTCCACTTTAGTAGCTGTTCAAGTCCATGTGAAAATGCCAGTTCAAGGCCTCGAACAGAGTTCACGCGATTTCATCGCTGCGATTCCCCCAACAGACAAACAGTTGCAAGTCCACTACGTATCCATCATTTTGTATCTGCTTGTAATAGTTAGTCACAAGTCGTGCTGCTAACACATGAAATGCAAGATGATCGGTATAATGGACGTAACTGTTTGTCTCGTAGGGAGGATCGCGGCGAAAATCACGTGAACTCACCCGAGTCCTGGGGTATCAGCCATTCCAAAGAATGGCTTACATCACTCATTATACTTCGCTAGTGGTTCAACTTTGGGTCTGATTGAAAACAGTGAAAAAGCGTCATGTCTTGCATGAGTTCCAAGATTGGTGTTTAGCTTTGAGATTTTGATTGTTCATGAGTACGTAAACACATTATATACGTGTAAATATAAAATTTCTGTTTTGCAGCCTCCATGAGGAAAGGAAAACTTAAGCATTATTGCTGTAAAGCTGCTAATATGTAGTAGCTCTGTAACACAACAAATAATGAGAACATGAAGCGAAACATTCTAATTTTGTTTCCCATAACCGCGACTTACTCTACATATGATAATTAGGCCTTGTTAGTGCATACAGATCTTGCAAATCCTTCATTCTTGAATACGCGGCTTTTTGTTAGCTGTGCGTTTCCAATTAAAGCGTGCTTCGATCAAGAGGGAGCATGGGAGCTTGTTTGGATAGAAGTAATATTGTCCTATGAGCATTTTAGAGGAACGCTGCTTCCACACAATGCAACGTTCCTGCAATTTCCCCACCCCAGTGTAAGTAATTTGATGCAAAAGTTGTTGCATAATTCAAAAGAAATTCAATAACCTGAAACTCTAAACATGAATTTGTGCCTTCAAATTCATAGAAGAGGAAGGTTTGCGCTTTACGATAGTAATTTTTTGCAGTTTACTGGTTAGGAGCCATAGGAGAACAAGTTTCCAAAACGGCACTTTCTATTCTTGAGTCCGAAAATTCTTGAGAAAAGAGCGCCGTTAGCTAACTTCACACTTGTAAAAGTCTCGCAGTCACACACTGTGGTAGACTTTAACAGCGCAGAATTCAAAAAAAAATTCGTCAAAATTTTTATTCTGCAGGAAAATTCCCTTATCACGCATTTCTCTCACAAACACAGTTTGAAATAAGAAACCTGACCTATAGCATACCTCAAGCATTGTGAAGTTTTTTTAAATCATCTAAATGGTTTTTATAGAAGAAGTGCAGCGATAAGGGGATTTTCACTGCAATATAACAACTTTCACGAACCTTTGTTTTTGCATTTTTTGTGCGGGATTGAAGTCTGCACATGATGTACGGACAAACTACTGCTATGTAAAAAAAAATTATCCACGAAGATTCAGGGCCAAATAGCGACACTATATTTTTACATAATTGTAAGAAGAACCCAGGATCATGAAATATGAATTGCCGTTATTAGAGCTTCTATTTCCAGAATTAGTTTGCGTAAATTTGCGTACCGTCTGCACCCCACACATGTTCCCATGTGAACCAGCCTGCGTGCGTGGTGCGACGCTGCCTTTCGCTCTTTTTGACACGTTTCTTCTGAAATTTCAACGGAAGTGTCCGAGTTCACGTTCAAAAGTGCGAAAGGCAGGGAGATGACGTGGTACCTATGGGAACCTTTCTGGGGCGCAGACGTACATGCAAATTACTGCCTGAAGCACCGAAGTAAGTTCACGGTTAAGATTCAAAAGTTATCAGATTATTCCAATTGCGAAAATAATTTCGCATTGACCCTATGCATACTCACTCGACTCTTCTACTAATTAGCCGTCCATGGTGCCTATAAACAAGATTTTATATTCCTTTGTTGCCTGAAATTTGCCTATCTTCACTTGAGCTCCGCTTGCTGTCATCAGTAGAACGATAGCTCAGCGCGAATGAATTAGGTAATCTTAGGTTAACCGACAGCTTAGGGTGAACGAATCAGGTAGACGTAGGTGATCACTAAATGATGTAATTTGCTCCAAATACCTTACATATAATTTTCACGCGGTTAGTCGAATCGATACTATAAGTGGCCATTTTAGTTTCGAATGGTTATGTGAGCTTTCTCATCTTCTACGCTACATGATAAACGATAAAAATTGAGTCCATAAAACATGTATAGGTACTGGCATATTAGTTCTTAATCTGTTTTTTGTTTCTTTTTCAGTCCGGGTACCACTAGGAAATGCTTGCCTTATTCCTTCTTCTTCCTAAAAAATTGGGTGAGGGAACTTATTCAACCAAAGCACTTACCGTAGTGTACTTATAGAGGTCAAGATTTGTCAGCAACGCTAGTTGGCACCTGATTAGCACCGTACGCAGAGCCAATCTGTGCACACAGCACCCTCGTCCTCATACGAAACTCATGAAACTGAAATTCGATGAAATTTCGATTTCAAAGTTCAATAGCGATATAAGTCCGATTGAAGTAAAAACTAGTATTTAGGGGTTTCGGCGGGGGGCGGGCGTTAGGTACCCAACCGAGATGCGGGCGTTAGGTACCCAGCCATTAGTGGTATACAATAAGCCACGCCCCTTGGCTGCTTTAACAGCGGGTACCTAACGATACAACAAATCCTAGCTGCTAGAACAGCCCAACTAGCTCGCTGAAGCGCTGGAGCTTGCGACCCACATGAAAAAGATAGTTCGAGAAAATCAAAAAAATGCGCGAATAAAAGCGCAAGTTTACAACGCTTTTCCTATTGTCTTTCTTAAAATCAATTTTAGAATTCAGAAATTCAGTGATGAAAGCTAAAAACAGGGTAAGGCTTTTATGAGCAGTTTACATAGTTTTGCAAAAAAATTGTGATGACGTGATCTAACCGATAAGTCAGCGGGAGTTTCAAAAAAGTGAACTTTGTAGAATTATATTTATGATATTACTGAAGCAAAGCGCACTTGCGGAGACGCTCCTGGCAAATAAGGGACGTCAGGCAGGAGGCAGCAAAGGCTGGCCGCATTTGCTCCTGGAAGTGCCAGGGGAGCTCCAGACTTTCTCGCACCTCTAATCATTCCTCGCACCTTTGATTAGTTTACAAGCAAGAGCATCAAACAAAAAACCTTTTGAAGAGAATTTTACTTTGAACCAAGTTGGAAATCTTGCAATTTCTTTCAATCTCAGCTATATAAGGTTTAGCCTACAGAATATCGGGTCCAGAGCAGTTTCCTTCAGAATCCGCAGAGTAGAAAGGAATAAGACTGCCGCAGAGTCAAGGACATGGCTAGAAGTCTTTGAAGTCCTTGTTTTCGATCGAAATTATTAAGACGAAAAAGACTTACAAGATTATGTTCAACATTCCGGCTCAAAATTTGACAGATCAAATTGGACTTCCATATCTACTCGAGATTCTTATTTTTTTACCGCCTTCGATGTTGAATTAGGCTAATTCTATAAACTTTTTTGAAACCTACTATTTCATTCGCTTCGGATATGAAATATGAAACCTATATCTCGCAATCTGCCATACTTGAAAAGTTTACGAATAAGTGGGCATAGATCATATCGAATACATACTTAGAAGTGCGAAGAAGTAATTAGAAGCGCGAGGAACTCTGAAGCTCCCCAGGTACCTCCATAAGCAAAAGCGGCAGGCCTTTGCTGCCTCCTGCCCGACCGCCGCAAATAAGTTGCACGAAATATTCCTTTGTAAAAAAAAAACTGCTTCAAATATATTTTTGACAATGAGAAGAGGAACCGATTGAAAGAATAGCCTTCCTAGATAAGTTGGGGGACGGAACTTAGGAACCCGAGCCTAATTAGCTCGAATCAGGGAGTGCCTGCAGGTTACAGTCATGCTCGCTGTCTCCGATTACTCACTAGGACATAGCAACAATCTAAGCCCCGCCCCCCTTGAGAGCCTGTTTGGAACCTAGCCAAGGAATGCTGAAAATCTCAATTGAATTTCAGGGCTGGCTCTAAGCCAAAAACCTTCAAAGTGATCGTGCGAAGGTGAAATTAGGCTCAAACGAAAGAGAAAAACCGTGCCATCGTCATAAAGTGTCTACTGATTTGAACTGATTGAACACAACATTTTCTCGGTTCAAAATTTATTTAAGTGTTAAATTACTGAGAAATTATTCAAAAAACCGTCAAGTTTCAGAAAAAATTTATTTGAGTGCTAAATCCTGGCAAAAGACTAGAATATCACTCGAGAAATGACACTTCAAAAACTTCTCAAGATTGATAGTTATTCAAATGCTGAAATTTAGGCGAAAGACTAGAAAATCAGTCGCGAAACGACAGTTTATAAAACTCTCAAAAATAAAAGTTGTTTGTGTGCGGAAGTCTGGGCAAAAGACTAGAATATCAAGAAATGACAAATCAAGAACTTCTCAGAAACATTGGTTTTTTTGAGTGCTAAATTTCGAGCAGAACATATCAAGAAATGCCACTCAGTAGTTAAAACTACCACAACTGCCTGAAAATAAAGATATACATGTGGGAATAAAAATAATCGTCATAAGATTTGGGAAGCTGAGATATCGGTAGTAACGATAAATGGTTTTCACCCTTTATGCTACTATTTATAAGGAAAATTTCGCCCCAAACTGTTATTGCAACCTTTACTCGCCGTAGGTTGAGGTCATTGCTTCCAGCATATTAGCAGGATGTTTTTCGCACATCAGAATCGTCTGTCGTTCACAGACTCAGTAATATCACTAGTGAAGTTTTTGAATTGTCATTTCTTGATATTCTAGTCTTTTGCCCAGACTTCCGCACACAAACAAACTTTTATTTTTGAGAATTTTATAGACTGTCGTTTCGCGATTGATTTTCTAGTTTTTCGCCTAAATTTCAACATTTAAATAACTATCAATTTTGAGAAGTTTTTGAACTGTCATTTCCTTAATGTTATTCTAGTCTTTTGCTAGGATTTAGCAATCAAATAATTTTTTTTGAAAAACTTGAGGTTTTTTGAATAATTTCTCAGTAATTTAGCACTTAAATGTTTGAACCAAGAAAATGTTGTGTTCAATCAGTTTAGATCAGTAGACACTTTATGATGATGGCACGGTTTTTCTCTTTCGTTAGCCTAATTTCACCTTTCTACGATCACTTTGAAGGTTTTTGGTTTAGAGCCAGCCCTGAAATTCAATTGAGATTTTCAGCATTCCTTGGCTAGGTTCCAAACAGGCTCTCAGGAGGGCGGGGCTTAGATTGTTGCTATGTCCTAGTGAGTAATCGGAGACAGCGAGCATGTCTGTAACCTGCAGGCACTCCCTGATTCGAGCTAATTAGGCTCGGGTTCCTATGTTCCCTCACCCAGATAAGTTCCGTTCCCCAATGAAATTAGGCTGGAACCGGTTGCACGCCGTTTGATTTGCGAACTAGCCCAAATTTCTGCTTTTGAGACAAATAATTCACATGAGGAATGCAAATTAGAGGATCTTATTGTTAGATATAGGCTAATCCCTGACGGGTCGGTTGGTTAGATTTACGAAGAGAGTGCGAAAGCACCGTTCAAGCACCCTCCACCATTGCAGCTATTCACGCTCGTGTACGCTTGCTTGCGGGCGAGCGCCTTCGTTCGTTATCAGCCGTTAGAACATTGGCCTATCACGAAAGTCGATGTCTATCTTTCAAAATTTTGTGCAAAGTTATGGTCATTTGTGTGTTGGATTGGCCAGTCTTATTATCTTAAACTCAATTCGAAAACAATATTTCGAAGATAACAAATTCGTAAATACTGCATTCAGTTTTCCAGCAGGAGCAGTCAAACCAAGTGGTGAGCCAAAGCTAGTAAGCCAATGCACTTCGTCCGATACTTTTTGAAGACTTGTACAGGTCTAAACGGGTGTATGCCAAGATAAATGAAGCTGGAAATAAGCGTACTGTACTCCTGCGGTTGTCAGTAACCTGAAGGTCTGAGTTAGTGACCTCTGGAGAAATCGCGCTAGGGTCTCGCCCTCGCCGTTGTTCAGAACGGTCCGTTAAAGGGAACATAAATTGGATCCAATGCTACTAAAAGTTTACCCTTCGTTCTCTTCATTCCGTTATAATTCATCCTCGCACTTCCTCACCCCTTCCTCCTCCATACTCCAGCTCCAGATCTGCTCTTGGTGCTCGCCATCTCTTCTATGGTGGGTTTGCCATCCCACCTGGTTGCCATCCTCATTGCAAAATAAGCTTTACCACCTCACTAGATGACTGTGGAGGAAATTCCGAAAATAATTGACTAGCTTTAATTCCTTTAGATGCAAGTAAAAAACCATCAAAATGACAGAAGGGCTCAATACGTTAACGACAACTTGTCCGGCTAACAGGACAAAGCCTTTTTTGAATCCCACTCTTTAAGAGGTGCAGAGAATCATGGAAGTTACACCTAGATCCAGTTTCTTGAGAAAAGTCCGGAATTTATCCCAGAAGAGAATCCTTTTAAACGGATTACAAGCCATAGCCCATTATGTAGGTCACATTGTCCCACGTGATGACCATTGCATGACCCACCATATGGGTCATGCAATGGTCGTCACCTAAGGCCTCGATCATACCTCGCGCGATTGCGAAAAATCGCTATAGTTGGCCACTTTCGAAATGTCATTACTTAACTGCGCGCAGATCTCGAATGGACAGGCGCACCGTTTTCACAAGCCCGTGCAAACGTGTCGAATCTTGTTTACTGAGAATGTGTTAACAACGTTATGAGCAGTAATGCCGACTCGCGCAGTGACCGTAGCGCGAGGTGTGAACGATGCCTCAATCTCCGGCAAAAATTGAACTATGCCAACCGCCAAGACGAAGCTATACAGGCTGTCCCAAAGGTTGTGCCTAGTGTTTGATGAGCACGTTAGGAACTTGTAGCATGTGGCACCACTGTGAAAAAGGCCGTTTAGAAAAAAATTCCAAAAGAATCTGACAAGGAAAGGATCCTCGGTCGAAGTGGGGTTTCCACACGTGATGCATATCATTGTGCTGGTCTTGGGGCACTGATACCAAATCCGTGTTCCTTAGCTGCTCAGTGATCTTCTGGGAAAAGCTACGAGTGATGGTTTTCCCAGGATGATCACGGATCGTGTAAGTTAGCGGTGCCGAGAAATGTCAGTTGTGGAGGGACGGCCGAGTGGATAGCTGCGGAGACTATAGAGGAAGCGGTAAAACGTTCGAATACTTATGTTCCAAACATTTTTGCACTTTTGCAAATTATCTAACGGGGCCGGATGTTTCTCAGCCTTGGGGCCCTATAAGGATACATATCAAAAGATACAATCTACAAAATGGAAGAATGTTTGGAACATAAGTATTTCAAACTATTTACCACTTCCTCCATAGTCTCCAAACTTATCCACTCGGCCATCCCTCCACGTGATATTTCTCGGCGCCGCTAACCAGAGCGATCCATGATCATCCTAAGGAAACTATCACGCGTAACTTTTCCCAGAAGGTCATTGAGTAGCTAAGGAGTACGGATTTGTTATTAGTGCCCCAAGACCACACAATGATATGCATCACGTGTGGGGACCCCAATTCGACCGGGAGTCCTTCCCTCGGAGGAAATTCGTAACAAGGTTTTCATGCATGCTGATTTCAGCACACAAATTTTTGCGCTTTCGTAGAGCTTTTTTGATGGTGTAATCAGATTTTTGACGAATAGCAGAGTTTACTTGTGAAATATGCGTTACGATGAAGCGCGAGTTCCACATCTGGAATCAGCGACTCTGTTTGACCTAGTGTCTGTTTGACCTAGGACCTAGTGTAGGAACTTTCAGCTTCTTTGGTTCTATTTTAGTGTTGCAATATAATCCTTATTTGCTGAAAATCCTTAAAGTTCTTACCATAACCCTACAGTATGAAAGATGGATTTTTGATTACCATACTGTAAGATCAAAATGAAGCCAGCTGTACAAAATGGTACCTAGAGCTTCTCGAAAGGCTTCATTACAAGAGGGTTATTGACAACCAAACAGTAAGCCATCTTTTTGGGACACCCTGTATGTGTGCGGAGTTTCAGTTTGATTTTCCTACGCAACATAAGTAGCACACGCACACATTTGCTACTTTATATATGTAAATTATTTAGACGAGTTCGTCGACAAGAAGATAAGCTCTCTACAAATACGCATGGCATCAAAGGTAACAGTCCCTCAATGAACATGAACTTGAGCGGCGGAAAGGTTGGTTTTGCAAAATAAATTTTGCCGTATATGAAATAGACTTTAAGTTGACAAATGCACTTGGAAGATTGGTGAATCCAAAGTTCACTCGACAAGCTGTGGGAGAATTGACGAAGACTGCGCAAAATGCACTGGGAAAATTAGGAAGCCCATCTTCGCAAAAGGCCATAGGAGGATTGACAAAGACTGCCCAAAATGCACTGGGAGAATTAGGAAGCCCATCCTCGCAAAAGGCAATAGGAGGACTGACGAAGAGTGTGCAAAAAGCAGTGGGAGAATTAGGAAGCCCATCTTCGCAAAAAGCAATAGGAGGATTGACGAAGAGTGCGCAAAAAGCAGTGGGAGAATTAGGAAGTCCATCTTCGCAGAAAGCAATAGGAGGATTGACGAAGAGTGCGCAAAAAGCAGTGGGAGAATTAGGAAGCCCATCTTCGCAAAAAGCAATAGGAGGATTGACGAAGAGTGCGCAAAAAGCACTGGGGGGATTAGGAAGCCCAAAGTCACTAGTGAGAACCTTGTTTAACACGCACACGAAGAAGCCTACGCAACAACGACCAAGAAACAAGCATAGGAGAATAGGGTATGCATATACGTCCTACAATTCTCTTTACGGTGTAGGCTACATTTAGTAATCGTCGAAAGGGGCAGAATGGCAATAGAAATTTTGGAAACAGCAGGAGACCAAATTTTGGAAACAGCAGGAGACCAAATTTTGGAAACAGCAGGAGACCAAGCTTTGGAAACAGCAGGAGACCAAGCTTTGGAAACAACAGGAGACCAACAAATAGACCGCAACGAAAGGTGAGTGGTTAACATGCTGCTTGCTAGTAGTTCAAAAAAATCTTTTACAGCCTGATATACTACGTGCCTCACTTCCCCACGGTCAACAGCAAGATTTTACCTTCTCGGTGAATGGCAGATCAATATCAAGAAAACCTGATTCAATGACTATTGAGTCATCTCCTACAGGCTTCACTGTGAGGGAAGGAGACTAACATTCTGTGTTGCTAGTTTCACCAGAAAAAAAAAGAAAAAAATAAAGTTTATTATCATAAGACTCAGGCCGAAACTATATTTAGCTATGTGCAGTAGTATAGTCAATTGCTGATTATTATGAAACAACAAAAGCCTTGTGTTACAATTTTTTTAGAAGAATGCTACTCGTGAACTTAGCCCTCATCTGCATGACGTAGAAGAAATCGAGGGCTGCAGTCATATATACGAAAATGCCATGTTTTAAGCTAATAAAGCTGGGAGGCCTTGAGGCGTCTTGCATTACAAATCGGGAACCCATGATGAAGACGTGGAGTTCCCTCACAGTTTCCAGTGTTGATCTGCTTAAACTACTACTTCTCCTTGATCACCTCTTCTCTCGACCATGAACGCATTTTGTCTGCTTATTTTTTGTAATGCTGGGCAGGAAGCGTAAAAGCATTCTGGAACTATCATTGTTCTATTCCACATCCTAAAAAATGGAAAGCTCACTGTGAAGTCATCTGCCTTTAATGAAAATCGCTGCTGAGTTAATCTAGTAGTTACATTATAGAAGCTTGAGGAATATGCAGTAGCTGACGCAGCAACTTCGGTCGTGCCTTGTCGTTTTCAATAATTAACATAAATGGTCTTATTCCTTTGTTTATTTTGATGTGTGAATGAGGCTCGAACGTATATTTTAATGGCCAATACAAGCAAACGTATACCACAAATAGTCTTGTAATAGCAAACCGATCATTTAGAGAGATTTTGCGGTAGCACGTACTGGCTTAGTGGCCTGAAAACATAGGAAAATCTGCGTCAAAAGTTTTTAAAATGCACTGACTGGTTCTGATTCGCTGATACTCTTTGCAGTAGAAACATTTTTGGTAGGGGTATTGTATAGAGACATTTTCGAAATAGAAGGGAGTGCGTTCAGATCTTTAATCGAATCGACAGAGAAATCACGAAGACGCTAAAAACTGGCATGTTATTTTCCAAAACCAACGTTTATACTTACGTATGCTTCAGGCGTAACCGCAGCAGGCGTAAGCTGCTTAGGCTCAAATTGCACATCAATATTGTGCAAGTCAGTGATAGATTCTGCACCTCGCAAATATTTATTGATCGTCTGGAATTTTTGGAATGATAAAGAGTCTTGATTCATACTTCTATTGTTGATGAAGCTAGCCTATAAGAAACAAGCCCTTTTGGGCTCGCTCATTTCCGACTGCTTTCCGCGTGAAACGTGATGCGGGCTTATTCCTTACATACTCATACACTTACTAAACGTAGACTTGCTTCACGAGATGCTACTGTAGGAATATGATGTATTAGGTGGGGAACTAAGTTTTGTAACTTCTCCATAATTTTTCTTTTTTTCAAATTTGGCGCAATCATTCTTCGGCAAAATGTGGATTTTGATGTGGACTACAACTTACTTATTTGATTTCTGAACGCAGAATAACAAATGTTCAAGCAGTTTTCGGAAACTACTGGAATTAGAAAAAAAAATAAGACGTTTGCAACCTAGATCATGCACAACGATCTAGAATTGTACATAATCTGTTTTTTGAAGGCTGACTCATTTAGCTTAGTAAGAAAGAAACTGATGATGACAAGTCGACATCTGGCGCTTTTACAAAGATGAACGAGTCGTTGTACGAAGGCTGTCGGGCATGAACGCCAATGTAAGGAGTCGCGTCAGAATTCGTCAAAACTTGCATAGTGGGATTATCGGCGTGCTAAATACGAATAGAGTATTCATTTCTTAAATTAACGCCTCTTTCTGCGATTAGGGTGTAACTTCATAATAGGTCTACCGTAACCTTACAAAGAAACCTTACCATGTAATTCAACTATTGTTTACGTGAGCATGTCGGATGCCCCCATGTGTGCCGACTTTGTCGGCACCTTCCTTGCAACTTATCATTACTTCTGCTAAGCACCGTAAAGGTCATGCTATAAGCATGACCTGCTGTGATATGAGTGTATTATTGCACAGATGTTTGTGATACTTCCTTACCACGCCTTCAGTTCTCAGCATTCTACCACTGCACGAATGGGTGCATGTCGTCTGTTCAATAAAGCTCTAATAGCTTTCGTGTTCTATTAACCACCAGGAGCCACCATACTCCACAACAGGCGCCACCCATTCGCCTGAGGCTACAGTAAAGCCTACCGGGTGGAGGAACGAACGCCTCGATTTGGCACCGCCTCCGCGGTCTGCTGGTCCCAACACGATGCACAACAGTAGGACGAAAGGACCAGCAGCCCGCAGAAGCGGTGCCTAATTGAGGCGTTCGTACCTCTACCCAAGCCTATCAGCCACCATATTTGGTGCATCGGCCAAATACGCAAGGCCGATCATTACTCGCCTCAGCTACACAGAGGTTAGCTATTCTAACCTTGGGACCTAGCGCCCAAAATCCGCTGCCTCGCACCTAGCGACAGATTCTCCTCAGCATCAGGGACTAAATCATCCCAATTTTCGCACAAAATTAGCGAACGGCTCAAAAAGCAGCCATATTCTTCTAACAGTTTTTGAACATCATAATGTCTCTAAATTCTTTTAAAGAGGCAATCTCATTTCACTCAAGAGCATTAGCAAATCTGCTCGAAAAATTTGACTCTTACAACTTCAAGCTCAAGATCACTTTAGAAATTGATAGAGAGCTTCAAAAGAAATGTTTCGAAAACTTAGATATTCTCCTTTTTTGCCTTTCACAAGTTAAAGCAAGAACGACAGTTTTGGACTCAACAGTCGACCAGTTTGGAGAATTTTATCTCAAGCAGTCTAAAAACGAGATAAAAACTGTCATACTCCAGCTAGAAAAGCTTGAAAAAGAGCTTGACTTTCACCAGTTGCTTTCGAATGCTAATGTTTTTACTATCGCTGTGGAATATCTGATAGTATATGCAAAAACACACAAGAATTTCGTACCAAGTCAAGTAGTTAGAGAACAGCAATCCAGTCTTTCCAACCATTTTTTACGTGATGCGGAAAGGGAAACGGTGCTCTAGCAATTATGATGAATTCCGCGACGATGGAAGAAGACAATGAAAGTGAAGATTGCCTCAGTCAATATTTTGAAGACTGCACAACTGTGGCTCGCGGAGATGCCATGGATGGCACCATACCAGCAACAGAGGATAAAGTGAACTCGCAAGCAACCACGACTAAGGAACGTCGATCCAAAGGATGCAATGATGTATTCGGAAGGCGCAAAACTATGAAGCGACAACCTACAAACAGTAAAAAGATTCCGACTCATAATCCTTACTCTGTATTTTCGTCGCTCAAAAATGAAGTCGACTATGTCATGATGATCTGGAATACTCTGCCTTACCACAGTCTACTTCCTCACCATGTCACGCCAGCTGTCATGACTACATCAATCTGGACTCCGACCCCATCTGCCTAGCTGCTCAGGAACGTCCACTACGATATCCCGACAAATATGTACTTCTATATATCCAAGTGTTACTTATTTTCGTGAATTGCACATTTTTGCTCTTTATTCCCCTCGCTGGCCGGAGTGTGCCGACTTGTCGGCGCCTTCCTTACAACCGTATCATTACTCCTGCTAAGCACCGTAAAGGTCATGCCATAAACATGACCTGCTGTGATATGAGTGTATTATTGCCCAGATGTTTGTGATATCACTTTACCACGCCTTCAATCCTCAGCATTCTACTACTGCACGAATGGGTGTATGTCGTCTGTTCAATAAAGCTCTAATAGCTTTCGTGTTCTATTAACACACCAGGAGCCACCATACTCCACAACAGGCGCCACCCATTCGCCTAAGGCTACAGTAAAGCCTATAGCCACCACACCATGGCCAAGTCTTAGGCTGCGTTCATACTGATTCCCTTGTTCTGGAACTGTTCCCGCACAGTTCTCGCACTGTGCGGGAACTGTGCGGGAACTGTGCGGGAATTGTGCGGGAACAGTTCCAGCACTGTGCTGCATGCGCTGCAGCCGCCCCGCACCGTTTTGAACGGCGGGAGTTGGAGAATTTTGACCGTTTCCAACGGTTTTTCTTCCAGATTTCGCTCATTTTGGCCTTAATCCTCCACCCCACTTCCCTTTTTGATCAGCAGCACTGCGAACTCGAAGCGGGGTTGAAGAATGAGCGCTTTTCTGCGCCTTGTATTCGGAAAGATGGGCTATCGTGCGATTGTTCATTCTGTCTTCTTGTTTTTTGCTCAAAACTACTTCATTTGTTCCAGGAAGCGGCTGCCCAGTCTCCATAGCCATCTGCCACGAATTAGGGACTAGGAGAAATCCTGAAATTGCATGAGTTGGGACTTGTCTCTTGGTTTTCATGATTTTGGGCGTTCTTAGCCTTGTTCGTTTTTCCATGTCGTTGCTTCTCCGTTCTTTCTTCTACACCGCTTCTCCTAGTGATGAGAAAGCTGTGAATTTGAAGCGGTGTTGAGGATTGAACGCTGTTCTGCTCCATGTATCCGGGAATATGGGCCTTCGTACGCTCGTCCATTCTCTCATCGCTATTTTTGTTTAAACCTACTTCATATGTGCTAGCAAGTCGCTGCGTAGTTTCGCATCTGTATTGAAATTGACATAGACAAGTCTCTAGAACACATAAAGTAGGCCTGAACAAAAACAGAGAAGATGGACGAGCGCACGAAGGCCCATATTCCCGGATACATCGAGCAGAACAGCGTTCAATCCTCAACCCCGCTTCAAATTCACAGCTTTTCTCATCACTAGGAGAAGCGGGGTAGAAAAAAGAACGGAGAAGCAACGACATGGAAAAACGAACAAGGCTAAGAACGCCCAAAATCATGAAAACCAAGAGACAAGTCCCAACTCATGCAATTTCAGGATTTCTCCTAGTCCCTAATTCGTGGCAGATGGCTATGGAGACTGGGCAGCCGCTTCCTGGAACAAATGAAGTAGTTTTGAGCAAAAAACAAGAAGACAGAATGAACAATCGCACGATAGCCCATCTTTCCGAATACAAGGCGCAGAAAAGCGCTCATTCTTCAACCCCGCTTCGAGTTCGCAGTGCTGCTGATCAAAAAGGGAAGTGGGGTGGAGGATTAAGGCCAAAATGAGCGAAATCTGGAAGAAAAACCGTTGGAAACGGTCAAAATTCTCCAACTCCCGCCGTTCAAAACGGTGCGGGGCGGCTGCAGCGCATGCAGCACAGTGCTGGAACTGTTCCCGCACAGTTCCCGCACAGTTCCCGCACAGTTCCCGCACAGTGCGAGAACTGTGCGGGAACAGTTCCAGAACAAGGGAATCAGTATGAACGCAGCCTTAACCAAATCTGTAATCCCATATAGTTTGGAGAGGAGATGGGAGTGGAGATGCTGGTGCACCCGGCACTTCATGATAAGCTCGTACCTCGCTCAAAGCGACGTCAGAGAATGGCGGTTTTATGTTGGTAGAAAAAAATTCATATTAAAAGTTGCAAAACTTAGTTTCCAATCTAGTCTTTTTGAATTGTAGGTGAAAAATTTAAAAGGGATTTCATCTCATCAATAGTCTTCGGTTTTGACTTGATTTAGGCCCAGACATCATCAATGTCTTCGTTTCCATATAGTCATTGCATACATACCATGTGTGTAAGGCCTGCAGAGTTCATGCGATTTCACTGCCTCGCGATTCTCCCACGATCACTGCTACGAGTCCACTGCATTCCGTTCAACTTGCATTGCGGTTGTGATAGGTTTCCACACCAATCGCAGCTTATCACAACCGAAATGCAAGTTGATTGGCACGCAATGGATACGTAACAGTTGTCTTGTGGGAAGATCGCGAGGCGATGAAATTGCGTGAACTCTGCCCATGGGCTAAAGCGGTCGTCTACATGAGCTTTGTATGAGCGCAAAGCTTATGGCGAAAATGTTGCTAGCTTATACAAGGTGTCTCAAAAAGATGTGCACACTGTTTGATTAACAGTAACGCTCTTGCTTGAAAGTATTTTGCCGAGCTTGAAGGCAATTTTCGGGCTAATCTGGGCGCATGGGTTTTCCGCGTAATATTGATGAGGGACCCCTACCTAAGGAGCTGCCCAAGAGGCAGCGCAAATTGTTCCTTTACGGCTGAGAAATCCGTCCCGAAAACCCCGCACCTGCGCCGCGACCGTAACCCGAAAACGACTTCGCTCACTTTAACACAACGTTCGCGCTGGGACCCATCCCAAGTGTTACGCTCACGGCGCAGCAGCGGAGTGTTTGTGGATGGATTTCTCAGCCGTGATTGAATGATTTGTGCTGCCGTTTGGACAATGCCTTAACTGGGACCTCCTTGACAGTTTCCAGGCAAAAAACCCGTGTGCCCAGATTTGCCTGGCCACTGCCTTTGAAGGCAGCGTTCAGGCAAAATCTCGACTTCTCTTTTTTCCTTATCCAAGCCTCTTCATGGCGCTGATTCCAAATATGGCAGTCGAAATGCGTGTATTCCTCAAAAAACCCCATTTTTGAGACAATTTTGTAAGATGCCTGGACGAGTGCTCCCAATGCTATCTTTGTCTGAAGCAAGCATTAACAGGTAGACACTACGTGTTCAATTGTGTTTGCCATGTAAAAACACGTCAAGGCCTGAGGATAGTTCGTTCAAGAGGGCGGACCGTTCGCCCATTCTCTCGAACGGCCCGCCTACTTGGACGAACTCTCCTCAGCTCTTGACGTGTTTTCACATGGCAAACAGGATGGAACACACAGTATCTACTTAATGCTTCCTTAGACAAAGACAGCATTGGGAGCACGCGTCCACGGTTCTCACAAAATTGCCTCAAAAACGGGGTTTTTGAGGAATTCACGCATTTCTGCCATATTTGGAATCAGCGTCATGAAGAGGCTTGCATAAGGCAAAAAAAGGGAAGTCGAGATTCTGCCTGGACGCTGGCTTCAAAGGCAGTGGGTCGGCAAAACTCAACAACTCAAATCAACGTGGTAGACTCCTTATTGCCCAAGTTGAAAACAGTGCAAACCCGATTGCACAGCATGCCTTTCTTGCCGAGAAAATTGCTCTCAAACTTACACGCGCAGGCCATTCTTACACGCCTCCGGACGAGTTGGCAACTTCCTTCTCACCATTGGAGGCTGCCCGCCGCAATGCTATAACTATGGGTCCTGCAACGATTCGGCGTCATCAGCCTTCTCAGACGGTCGAAGCGATACCTCCGGCGGGCAAATGGCGCGAGTCTGCCACTTCGCGCTCTGGAGCCCCCAAAGGTGGCGCACCTCCGGGGCAGAGGTTTGCGCGTCGCGAAGAGGGGTTCCATTCGTCCTGTTTGTGACGTCACCGTGACGTCAACGAAGTTTTTATTTTGCTAGTTTACTATGAAACTTCTTGAGCAAACTGAATAGACTCTTGCATACATCACCTGTGGCCGTACTCATCATTGATACCTTGAGGTAAATTCTACCTCCAGGTAGTTTTATCACTCACTATCAGCAAGTACCCGTATTCACAAAGTACCTTGAGGTAAATCCTCAATGTAATTTTGCTGATAATGAGTGATAAAACTACTTGGAGGTAGAATTTACCTCAAGGTATCAATGATAAATACGACCACTGGAATACTTCTTAAAGATCAACACTTCAGACCACGAGCCCATCAGTGGCCAGAAAATACAGGATGTCCCAAAAAAATGTTAACACTGTTTGATCGTCAATAACTCCCTTGCTTCCAAGTCTTTCGCCGAGCTTTAGGTACCAATTTGTAGAGCGAGGATAAACTTAGATTTGCAGTATGGAGCGAATCATCTAACGCTCTTCGTTACTGTAGAATTACGGTAGAAATTTGGACAAGGATTTTAGGTCATCAAAGGCCATTTTCTGCTTCGAAATGGAGCCAAACAAGCCAAAATCTCTTGTACTATGGTAATGAAAGCCGGTGATTTCAAATATGAAGTTTCCATTTTAATATGGTACTTCTTTCCAAAGTTATCCTAGGTAAAGCGTAATAACTGACTTCCCAGCATGTGTCAAAAATGTGATTACATCGTCAAAAAAGCTGAAAACGCTCTTAAAAAGTTGTGTAGTAAAATCAGCGTGCGCGAAAACCCTAGTACACGAATTTTCAGATTTTTTTGAAAAAATTTTTGTCAGAGGGCATATTACACGACGGTTCCACATGCTGGATTTTCCTACCGTAATCCTACCGTAACGACGAGCGAACGGTGATTCGCTCTATACTGTAAATCTAAGTTGAACCTCGCTCTACAGAATGGTGCCTCAAGCTCGCCGAAAGACATGAAGTCAAGGGAGTTATTAGCGATCAAACAGTGTTAACATTTTTTTGGGACACCCTGTATTAAAACTCAATATTGCGAAACATGCTCTGGTCCGATATGACAGTTAACGAAAAATCGGCGTAGTCGTGAATGTGTCAAGCGATTTTTTTTCTTTACTATCCACAGTAGCACAAGTAAAAAGGGTGTGAAATGATTCGCGCAACCGTAATGCCTTCCTCACACAAGTCGCTTGCGGAACCCCTCGGCATTTTTTGTCAAATCAAAGCATAGGAGTTTTGCCGCGTGGATGACGTAGTGTTGCATGTCATCAGGGTGGCGCTTGGAATCAAAAAACTGTACCCCTTGTTGTACATTCGTTATCTGATGTACAATCGCCCACCTCATTATCCGGTATGATGGGTGTGCGAAGAGGATAAGCAAGGTTGCTTCCAGTGTCACTGAAAAGATCCGGAATTCTACCATGTTCTCTGTCGGTGCTCAAGTCGTTGAGTGATTGCGGCTGCAATGAGCTGACATTTTACAGAAAGAAATTCTAGAAACCGTGAACCTGGGGTGAATACGGTGGACCAGGATGATAAGGGTAAATAGGAGGCCCCAAGTGATACATTGGTGGATACTGATAGGGATAGTACAAATATGGAGGCGGATAAAAACCGTAAGGGCTTAGCTAAAAATTTTTTTCGTAGATTTCGTTCAAAAAGGCAAACAGAAATCTTACATATGGTGGAGGCATATACACAGGCGGCTGTGGAGGCATTCCATGGTAATAAGCAGTGTAGTCATAAGCCGAGTGCGTCTGTAATTCGTAAAGATGCATTGAACTGACAAGGGAAGTCACTTAACTTAGGTCGGTTTTTTGAAATGAGACACACACATTTAGAATCAGTTCGGAACGCTGATTCTAAATATGCTGTCCTTAGCTGCGAAGCGTTCCTTTGAAGCGAGTTATGGGCTGTTCAGTATGTGTCATTGACATGAAACTGGATATGGAAAGAAGGCCTTTACATGAAAATCTGCCCCAAAAGTGATGGAAAATCGAAATAACATAAAATTGAGTCATTTGGCTTTGATAAGGTATAGTATGCATTTGAACCACCCTAGAGGATGGTACTGTAGCATGCCTAAGTCGGTCAACACGCAAAATTTTCTCAGGAAAAAGCACATAACTCGCTTCAAGGTAATGCTTCGCAGTATGGAAAGCAGATTTGGAATTAGCGTTCAAGCTGATCCCAGCTATATGTGTCGGTTCTTAGAAGGCCGACCTAAGTTAGATGCCTTTCCCTGTGAGTTCATCACAAACTTCAAACTTCAGTTCATCACAAACTTCAAACTCACGGGTGTATGCCTACTGGGGCTCCTATGGCTGTAAGAGCTAGTAGGACTAGTTGCCTGAATCATCCCACTATCACTCTGTACGTCAAATAAATGCGATATAGCCATATACCTGTATTGCAGGGATCTGCTGTAGATCAATTTGCGACTGGACTGAGCGTGCGTATTTGTTGATCGTCTTGAAAAATTTCGTTTAGCATTCAGTGTTTGATTTTTTTGCATAAAATCAACAGCTTAACACATTCACGACAGGGCCGATTTTTCGCTGATTGCCATTTCGGACCAGAGCATATTTCGAAAAATTGAGTTTGCGGAATATCGGAAGCGTTAATCTTTTGGAAAGTACTCTAAGAGGGGTATGCAGAAGTTTACTCGGCTTGTCTAAAAGTTTCACTGTGAACTAGCAAAATCAAAAACTTCAGAACGCGTACGACCCACCGGTGGGTCGTATTGTCGTGAATGTGTTAAAGCACTACTGCTTACAAGGGAATGGTCAGAAGTCGAAGTGGCCAATTCATACATGCTGCATGCCATTAGATGCAGCATAAAACGCTGACTCTAAATCTGTCTTCCTTATCTGCAGAGCGCTTTTATGGACGAAATTATAAGCCGTTGAAGGCCATTATTTTGCTAAGAAATTGGGCATGTAAAGTGCAAACTTGGCCGTACAAAGCCATTCTTAGCTCACTGTCGGACCAAAACTTGCAACTAGGTCACATCATATGACCCGTACCTAGAGTTGAGCTGAAAGGGCAATAATGCGCCTAATTTTGCAATTTTTTATACGGTTTTTTCGCAGTAAAGCTGCTCATAACTTCGCCTACGAAGGCGTTCTGCAGATATGGAAGACAGATTTGAAATCAGCATTTTATGCTGCATTAAATGGTATGCAGCTTGTTTGGTTTGGCCACTTCGACTTCTGACCATTCCCTTGTTAGCATAATCTAATATATCGTTATACAGGGTGTCCCAAAAAATGTTTCGAACGTTTGATAATTAATATCTCTCTTCCCAAGAAGTCTTTTGCCTTGCATCAGGGACCGTTTTGTAGAGCTGGCTTCAACTTAGATTTGCATTATAGAACGAATCACCCATCTCTCTTCATTACTGTAGGATTACGGTAGAAACTTGAAAGAGGGTTTTAAGCAATGAAAGGCCATATTTGGCCGCAGAAAAGAAACAAAACAGCCTGAAAGCTTCTACACTAGGCTAATTAGAGTTGCTGATTATAACTGTAAAGTTTCCGACTTATTATGATGCTTCATTGAAGAGTTATGCCAGGTAAGAGGAGCGGCCATTTTTTCAATGTTCCTAAAAAGTGCGATTACACCGTTTAGAAAACTTCGTAACCTTGTGAACAGTTGAGTATTGAACTCAGCGTCCATAAAAACCCTATTACACAAGTTTTCACAATTATTTGAAAAATTTTGGAACGGCAGCTTTTTTCCACATTGGCACCACATGTTTCAAGTTTCTACCGTAATCCTACAGTAATGAAGAGAGATGGGTGATTCGTTCTATAATGCAAATCTAAGTTGAAGCCAGCTCTACAAAACGGTCCCTGAAAGGCAAAAGACTTCTTGGGAGAGATATTAACGATCAAACGTTCGAAACATTTTTTGGGACACCCTGTATATTAGGTTGGTTCATAATTAATACAGTTTTCATAATTTCATTCAATTAATATTTATCTTTAAGAAACATTCTTTCTAAGAGCATTGAAAACTGCTATAAGCAGCAAACCTTCAGCCTACAACATATACATTTTTGGGAGTGTACCCTCCACAGGAGGGATTTTCTGGTCCAAAAATTGCCAAGAATTAGTGCTAGAATGGAGCAGGCTTTGCTCATTGTATAGTCGATCGTCGATTGAATTATAGTGTGAAGCTTGAATCTTACGGAATTTTTTTGCGAAGAAGTATCGCCAAGAAGGCAACAGTACCTATTTTTTCGGCACTTTAGAAAAAGGAAAAAACAAAAAGAGATGCGATATCCTCCAACCAAAATGGTTTTCTGGATATAAGTCCTACAATCTCTGTATGACAGGTCGGCGCTTTCATTTTCAATGAGACTTGCTTCCTATCTAGCTATGTTCCCAATGCAACTCTCGAGCGCTGATATGATCGCGAAAGCTTATCACGCCATTTTTTGCCATGCCCGATTCCAGCCAATTTTCAACAATTCAGCTTTGGAACTTCCAAAGGATTTGTCTGCCAGTTAATAGGGCCAATCTTCAAACTAATGTTTTTGTAATTCTCTGGCTTGATTTGACCTTCAGATTATGTTCTTAAGGTGACCGATTTCATATTCCTTGTACCACATGGATGGCAAACAGTTCAGGTATAACTCCTCTTTATTGCAGCTTTTTTCCTTGGAAAACATGTGAAATATGCAAACAGAATCGTCAAGCACTGCGGTACGCTAGCTTTCGAAAATTTTGCTTATTTTTCAGACTCACTTGTCTTTTAGGCCTCGTGCAGAGTTTATTCGATTTCATCGTCGCGATTTATTGCCGCAAGACAAGTGTTACGAGTTCATTGCATGCCGATCTTCTTGTATTTCGGTTGTGATAGTTAGTCACGATATTGTTTTGGAAAACTATCACAACCGAATTGTAAAGGGTCGACATGCAATGGTATTGTTACAATTGTCTTGTCGCGATGAATCGCGACGATGAAATCGCGTGAACTCTGCCCGAGGCCTAAAATGACAAGTGAGCCTGAAAAAAGCAAAAATTCGAAAGCTGAAACTCGCTTGAGGCCTTACGAAAATGCAGGCGACCTTTACCAAACAGCTCTAATTCTCAGACGTTGTTTACTCACCTACAAAGGAGAGATTATATGAAAAGACAGACCGAAGTTTATCAAATAAATATTGCTTCCAAATTACCTTCTGATCAGGATACGGGTGCAGATACGCCATCTGAACAAACTTTTCAAAAATGTGTTCTACACAGACTCAAAACTTACGGATGGGTTATAAGCGGGGCGATCATAAGCATAGTGACTTTGCAACTGAACAGACCAATCAATAATCTTAAATCGCAATGATAGAGATATTTACCTGTGCCGGTATCGAACGATCAAAGAAATAATTGCTGCGCTGAAATGTTGACTTCGATCAGGCTAATTGCAACAGCAATGACTCAATTTTCCTCTAGTGCATCAATTTATTTTTTCTATTTTTAAATCATCGGATTGCTTGTTTGACGATAACTGCTTGTCTGCAGCGTACATAGCATGAAAAGTGCCTCGAGCATTATCTCTCAAACTGACTCAGCCCACAATGAGAACTTTTATGTTTATGCACAGATTATGCGCAGAAATGCGCAGATCAACAATCTTAACGCACCTGTCTAAGCTTATAACAACGCAGTTCCACTGTCATTAATACTTCCTTACAACATTCTTTCCTCTTTCAGGATAGTGTACACACATACATTCTATCCTAATAATGGTAACACGGATCATGAGCGTATGGACTATACGTTAAAGGCAGCGTCCAGGCAGATTTGGACCTATGGGGATTTTACGTGGAAAGTACTTTTGGGGCCCTAAGGCACTGCTCAAGCGGCAGCGCAGGTAGTGCTCTAACAGCTGAGGTATGCCCCTCGAAACTGGACCCCGCGATCGTACTCGCATGGATTCATGGCAGTTTCGCGCCAGGACACACGCTTTGCGCCATGACATGCGAAATACGATCGCGGGGTCCATTTCTAAGGAGATCTCAACCGTTAGATTACTACCTGAGCTGCCCCTTGGCCAGGCTTAGTTAGGGCCCCAAGATTGCTATCTACGTGAGAGTCCCGTGTGTCCAGACTTGCCTGGACGCTGCCTTTGAGGGCCATATGCTGGCTATGGGCCATATGCTGGTAATGCTAGTTGCACTGGACGCCTCATAACCGGATATAACATGATTATATATACGCGTCAAAATAGTTTATATTCAGATTTCCCTGCATGCTGAATATATACCCTGCTTCGGTGGACTTAAGTGAGAGTCAGATGCGTAGGAAATAAACAGCTCGTCAAATGAAAACCGATTTACTAAGCCAGGCCATGAAAACGACATCCGAAATTCTTCTGAGAATATTTTGTGGGATGGTCATATACCGTGCTGCTAGTCGACCGCATGTTCTATTAGTGATGTAGAGGTTTATTCTTGAGAATTGTGCAGATTCATGACTTTCAGAGGATCGATAGAACTAATCTAAGAGTCATTCAACAAACAAACAGTGCGAGCTTTTAGGCACACCATGGCAAGATCTAAGCAAGCTTCTTATAATGACGCTTCGCTGCATTAATCGACACCAAAAGCCAGTTTGGTCAATTTTTTGAGACCGCGTGTTAACAAGCGTTCAGAAAGATTTGAAAATCGATGTATTGCTTGTAGTAATGCACCATACTTTGAAAGAAAACATGACGAGCAGCGATTTTTTTGGGGAAAGAAGAAATTGAAACAACTGGCTATCAAGGTGAAATTCTGCCGTGGAGGAACGAACACTTTGAATAGGCACCGCCTTCGCGGACTATTGGTCCTAGTACGATGCACTACAGTAGGACGAAAGGATCAGCAGCCTGCGGAGGCGGTGCCCAACAGAGGTGTTCGTTGGTCTACCCAATTTTGTCGGTTGTGTTGGGAGGACGCCTTGCAGGAAGTGCTCGAAGAAAATTTAACTTGATTATCGTGGATCAAAACTTTGACTCATATTTTTGTTCATTCTCAGCTAAAAATAGGGATATAGGCTTGCATATGCGAACGGTTTGACAATGAGCACTACAAAAATCACTCGTAAGGTGCGACCTTCCCACAGTTCAATCAGATTGGCACGGAAGACCTCACCTCTTCTTCTAGTTGGAAAACATCCGGAATCTTGCTGAGTTCTATACGTGAATCTTCCGAAAACTCACGTCTTTTTTTCTTTCCAATCTCTTTTTCCTGCAAAAACCACTGAAGCGCAAATTTACTCTGTTCCTATACCACCTGTTCTTGTTTTTTGCCGCTAAAAGGGCACGGTATCTGTTGTAGCTCGAAAAGAGAATCATTTGTTAGCTTTCGTTTATTTATGGTCTATAAAAGCATTCAGCATTCTCAAACAAGCAGTATTTAACATACCTCGTAGTCAGATCTCGTCGATGAGGAACCAGGTTGAAGGTTACGCCCAAAAGGGGTAGGAGAGCGAGCCTGATAGAGCAGTTTTATACTGCCGTACTGACGCACTGACCGCACTGACCGCACCTACTGCAAGCAGCAACTGCAGCTTGAGATCATTACGTCAAAATATCACAATATGGACCAGAGAACGCATATACTTTGAAGTTTCTTGGGCTATTCATTACGCTTGCTTCGGTTCCACCTGTTTCGTTCCATGAGCTTCTCATTTAGTTTGTTTTAGTATCACTTCCAAAGTTGTTTTTGCTTCAAATTTTGATGAGAAAACTCAAGATGGTTAAAAGATGTACGATCGCTGAACTATCACTGCAGAATCATTGCAACTTTGCGTACTCTGACAGCTCCAAGAGTCAAGCAAAGAATTTGACAGCGAAGAATACCTAGCAGATGAGAGAATATGTACTTGGGTAGAACATTTACACAAAAAACTCGTTCTGGGACTAGAATTCGCGTGATAATAAGCATGCAAGTTTGCAGTGCAATCGTTGATAACGCAGATTGTACGTGTTGATGCGTATTTTTCGTAATTGCTGCCGCTATTCTTTTTTAAGCTCAGGCGACAGTGGCTGCTGTTGTCGGTGTGGTCAGTGCGGTGAGTGCCGCAGTATGAAGCAACCTATAGAGTGGAATTTTAGATCAATATCATTCTTTGATATCTATCAAGACTACAGCGCAGAACTATTTTGAGACTGGTTAAAGGGTGCACGATGTCACGATATGTCAAGCCAGACAATCTTGCTGCAAATGAGGCAAAGTGTAGGAGTGTCTAATCACAAAATGCGCCACTGATCTAGCTGACTTCGATGTGTTTGGGTTACAACTCACAATTGCAGGAAGTTTTGTAATGTCTGCAATAGAGTCGACGGAGTGAGCATACTTGTTGATAGTCTGAAACAATCGATTGAAGCAAAAAGTGTTCCTGACGCTTGACATCACTAGCTATTTTTGTTTGCAAATTGGTATTCAAATGATTGAGCGCTTACGGGTGTTGGTGTGAATAAGTTCGATATTCCCTTCATATCTTGGTGTACTTCGTCTTCATATAACTTCCGGCCAGCCTGAAAAAAATTACTTGATTTCAATTCAATAGCAAATATGAAAACAATAGATGCTGAGGTGGACTGTGATACTCGCAAAGAACCCTCGGTACTTTTTCAGACCTCGCCTTCTTCTGTTTGTGTATTTCCATGCTTTCCTTCCAAGAGTCCTTCAAACTCTTCACCGTCGTTAGCTGCCACTCACTCGAATAAGCACCCCAGATCCAACTTAAATCCAACTTAACTTCAGCGACCTCAGATTAGGTTGGCGAACGCGATTTATATTGGTATCGTAAGGCCTCAGGCAGAGTTCATCGTCGCGATTTCATATTTCGTCGCGATTCAATCGCTACAAGACAAGTGTTACATGTCGCGATCAATCGCGACGATCAGATTCCGTGAACTCTGCTCGAGACCTAAGGAGAAGGCTGCAAACTTTAAGGCTCTTTCATACTGCCGCACTGACCGCAGCAGACTACAGCAGACCGCACTGATCGCAGCGAGCTGCAGCTGATTGCTGCGGGCGCAGCATTACACAAAAGAAAGGGCGACCTCGATTACGACCAAGACACATTGAATGACGCCTAGATCAAATTTTTAATTTTCAAGTTCAAATTTCTCCGTTTTCAGTCAAATTTTTCCTTTTTCACGCGAATATGCTAGGTCGCTGCTGCCGCAGCGGTCAATCCCGTCAGGCACAGTCTGCTGCAGTCTGCTGCGGTCATTCGGCCTGCTGCAGTGAGTGCGGCAGTGTGAAACAGCCCTTAGATATCTCATCGAAATTCCCGTGTTGCAAGCGAAAACACATTGCATGATTAATTTTCGGGCATGCCCGGGCCTTAAAGGCAGCGTCCAAGCCAAGTCTGGCCATATGGTATCTCAATGGAAAGTAATTTTGGGACCCTAACTAAGACAATGCCCAGCTCAGATGGTATATACTCACGGCTGAGATATCCGCCCCCAAACTGGAAACCAGGGTCGTCATAACAGACGAATTGCCTCACGTTCGCATAGTTTCATCCCATAACACATCAGTTTCGCGTAGCTCCTCTCAAAGCTACTTGGAAAAGCTTTTGAGACAAGCAGTAGTTCAAATTTTTTGTGATCGCCAGAATGCGCGGTGAGTTTCACAAACCTTACTGTCCACTACGAGGAAGGCATAGATAGTAAAACCAGTGCAAACCTTTTTTTATTGTGGCATCTTCCCGGTTACTCGGGTTCTGCAATTCTTGTAAGCCTCTTCCATAGTTGCGGTCAAGGGCCTGTTTATTTTCGATCTTGAGTTCTCTCAGATCCGCTTTGATATTATCCAACCATCTCATCTTCGGCTTTCCTCTGGGTCTCTTTCCTGTTACATCTTCTGACGTGGCCATGGTAATGTGGCCTTCTTCTCTTTTTCTCACGTGGCCGTACCATCGAAGTCTTTTCTCTTGCATCTTCCTGGTTATTAGGGCTGCCTTCATCATGACTCGCGGTGTCATTGGTGCGCTGTCCAGCATGGTGAGAGCCTATCGTCCATCGACGCATTCTTGTCTCCATCACACTCATCTTTCTTTGGTCTTTGCGCGTGCATGGCCAACATTCACTACCATATAGAGCGGAAGGCAGAACCACTGTGCGATACATCTTCCTCTTCAAGTAGCGCATCCGCCTATCACACATGATTCCTGTGAGGTTTCTCCACTTCCACCAAGCTGCGCTTATTCTGGCGGATATCTCGTCCTGTATCGTGCTATCGGACGTGATGTGACTTCACAGATATTTAAAGGCCGTGGTCTTCTTAACCGACGTGTCTTCGATCTGGATCGTTCCGGGTGCTTGGACTCCAAGTTCCATGTATTCTGTTTTCAAGGTACTGACCTTTAGGCCATATTGCTTCAGCTGGGTCGTCCACATTTGTCCGCCTCCAACTCCTCTCTGCTTCTTGCCATCAGGATTACATCGTCTGCGTACATGATAGCTCATGGTGGTCGGCAGATGAAATCTCTGGCTATTGTATTGACAGCCGTGATGAACAGTAGGGGGAGAGTACGGATTATACTTGGGTCCGCATCGAATAGAAATTTGATCATTCGAATAAAACGTCCATGTATTCGCATTCGAAATCCGGTTTTTGTATTTTTCAATATTCGAATAAAATTCGAGACACGAATGATTGAAAAAACGGGGTTTCGAATAAAATTCGAAAACTCGAATAATCAAAAAAGCAGGTTTCGAAAAGATCTTATTTGAATGGTTTATTCAAATTCGTTCAAATGAACGCCGTAATCAGATTATTCGCGTTTGTTGCAGAGCCAACTGCTGAGCATTAAGCTCGCTTTGCGTTTTTTCCACAAAACTCGGTAATGCATCTTTTTGCAACCGTGATCACCTTTGAACTGCATGGAAAGTCGGATTCCTCCAACTTCTTGCGAAAGTAAAAAAACAGGTGTGGATTTCGATTGGTGCTTTTCCTATAAATGAGATAGTTCGCACTGCTATTGACACCAAATCAACAAAAAAAGCAGCTATAATTCAAGCTAATGTTTCGAGTTTATATACTAGAAGGGTGTTGACAGGCCGGTTTCACTTCCACCTTCCATTGCTCATGCTTTTGGTACGCAAAGGTCCACACTATTAAGCACTCTTGTTTGTAAAACCCATGTTGCACAATTGCCTCTATTCTTTACCTTAGAGATTTTTCGCGAATTGGTGCATTTTGAGTAAAGGGCGTCGCAGCTGTAGTGGAGGACTAGATGGTTGCTGAATTTTGCATTTATATCACCTCAGACAATAACGCGGACGAGCGGCGGGCTTTGATTTGTGGGCGTGGCTTTCTTGCGGACGAGCGGCGTACCCTCGCTACCGAGCGTGCGAGCGGCGGACCTTGATTTGACCAGCGGCGGCCCATCCCCTCAAGCGGGTGGGCGGCGTACCATTAACACGTTAAACTAACTTGCCATCATTTCTATACGCGAGTCATTCTCATTTAGTGTTATTGCGGCGTGAGGGCGGACAACTAGCAGTGGCCAGCAACAATAAGAAGGTAAGTGTGCTCAGATAGTTATGATGAGCATCTGCCGGCCACCCACATGCCCATCCCGAGGGCGCGCCTATATGCGCGAGCCACATACCTCTACCAGTTTCTGCGCAATATGAAATTCCACCAGTTATGTTCAGGTATCCTGGACATTTCGGGCCTCAAGTACTTCCAAATGCGAATTCGGTGCCCCCTTTTGTACAATCACTTTTGTTGAACTGAGAAGCCATCTACTCAACAAGGAATTGATTTTTCTGCAAGAAGAAAGTGGAAAAACAAATTCTTTTTCGCTCCCTTAGGAAACGGAAACTTGCGTTTTTTGAAATATTAGGTTGTGACATAAGTCTTGTTACACTTAACTTCTAACGGCGATAAGTCATACACCTCATAGTCTTTGCAGGACTTCAGGGTACCAACCGATAGAGCAAAGCAAGCTCTACAAAATGGTCTGCAAAATTTCGCACCAGCTCCGACCCACCGTAAGTTTGCAGCCAAAATGTGAGTCGTACTGAAATTCAAAAAATCGCGAAAAATTCATATCTTTGTTTAAACAAATCCTACGGATCTCCAACTTGCTCATAAAAATTGCCCACTATATCAAACACTCATATGTACCGTTGCTGTACTTTTTCCTTATCTAGAAATCGAGAAAAAGAATTTTTTTTAGTTTTTACAAAAACGAAGCTATGCTGTTTCTTTTTATGTAGTTGTATACTACAATCCCTTAGAAGTATAACCGTAAATTTTCAGCTTCCCAGAAGCCCTAGTTTTCGAGAAATGCCAAATTTGGCTTTTATCACTCGGGTGTTCAATGCTAAATTAGGTATTTCTCGAAAACTAGGGCTTCTGGGAAGCTGAAAATTTACGGTTATACTTCTAAGGGATTGTAGTATACAACTGCATAAAAAGAAACAGCATAGCTTCGTTTTTGTAAAAACTAAAAAAATTCTTTTTCTCGATTTCTAGATAAGGAAAAAGTACAGCAACGGTACATATGAGTGTTTGATATAGTGGGCAATTTTTATGAGCAAGTTGGAGATCCGTAGGATTTGTTTAAACAAAGATATGAATTTTTCGCGATTTTTTGAATTTCAGTACGACTCACATTTTGGCTGCAAACTTACGGTGGGTCGGAGCTGGTGCGAAATTTTGCAGACCATTTTGTAGAGCTTGCTTTGCTCTATCGGTTGGTACCCTGAAGTCCTGCAAAGACTATGAGGTGTATGACTTATCGCCGTTAGAAGTTAAATGTAACAAGACTTATGTCACAACCTAATACTTTTCACACCGCTGGAAAAAGAAAATGATTTCCTATTTCTTTGCTACCAAATACTAGGTCTTTGTTCGAGCAGCAGAAGTTCTGCAATCAATGCGCAATTAAGATTTTATACGGCCGCAGAAAAGCGACCCTGCAAGGTTATGTTTGAAATTTTCAGTTCGAAAGATGTTGGCCATGTTCGTGTATGCATTTTGTTGCACAACGGATCCATTTTTCCATCAAACGGATCCACTTTGCTTCTGGCCCGCAAAATTGGATCCGTGTTTCCACTATTTGCAGAGTCTTAGATGAGTTTGGCAACTAAATGTGCAAGCCATGGACTTGAGCTCAAAAACGCGATCAAAAGTCTACTAATTTACATAAACGGCGCCAAAAAGACTGGGTTGCGAAAATGGTCAATTTGCCGTGGTTTGACCCGAGCATTTGACAAGATTTTTGCGCAAAGGTGTAGCCCACCGTCTTATGGCGACTATCGAAACAATGAAAAACTCAAAACCTATTCAAATTTGCGTTTGTTCACTTGTATGTTCACTGTTCGTTTGTTCACTGGTATTGTGATAGGCTGCAAAATATTAATCAAAAAATCAAAAATCAAAAGAATTACCCTAACAGCAAGCGAGCGGTCTACCTTCTCCAGCAAGCGTAGAGTCGGTACGACTGTTACAGCCTAATTCCCCTTGAACGCTGCAGCACTTGTACACGGATATATGTAGACTTATATAG